AAAAAAAAAAAAAAATCAACTTTTGCTTTGTGGGTTTGTGATTCAAAGACTGTGTTTCTGTTTAATACCACGGTTACCACCATCAATAAACATTCACCTTATGGCTTTGTGATCTTCTATAATCATCTATGTTGTGTTTGGGTGCACCAAACAGGGCTTTGAAATTGGAATTGTAAAAATATATATATTATTATTATTATTTTTGTGTTAATTTCGGTGGACCTCTATGGGTTTGTGTATTAATCTCAATTAATCGTCATCAATTTGGCTTGGGGCTTTTGGTTTCAAACTTTCACTGCATATAATCTGAATTTATCTCTCTATTATTCTGCTTTCATCTATATATTATATGAATTTCTTTATCTATTATTCTGCTTTCATCTATATAATATATGAATTTCTCTATCTATTATTATGCTTTCATCTATATTATATATATATGAAAGTATTTGAGTGGTTGGAACATTATTTTATTATAACTACACAGACTACACACAACATAAGTTTCAATTCTCCCAAAAAAAAAAAAAAAAATCCCAAATTTAAAGTAATTGAAACCCTAGATTAGAGTATGCAAATCTATATATATATATATGCACAATTTCATATACAAATTTATATATATATAAATGTATATACATGTATCTATAATCTAAATTTGAGCACTTACAAGATGATTTTTTTTTTTCCATTATAATCTGACGATTCTGACTGTCTTCGCTCTTCTGATCCAACTCCGAAAGTTCTTGTTAGGTCTTGTAAGGACTCACTCAAATGGGTGATTCATGGGATTTAGGGTTTCAGTATTCAAACCCTCGTATGATTTGTTTCAATTCGTGTAGTCGTGTATGCGGTAAGCCTCAGCGCTGAATAGGGTTTGCTGGGCTAGTGGGCTGGCCATTATCATGGATTGGGAAACTTGGGCTGGACTATAGCTGTAGGAAATAATAGTAGTAGTAACTTTTTTTTTTAAGACCTGGGCTACAGCCCAGGTTAGCCCACAGGTGGCTCTGCCCTTGATTGTGAAGGAAATGATAACTAATTTTTAAAAATTTTGAAATGTAAAAAGTCAAAATAGAGTTACTAAACAGATTTTGTTATATATACTTTTTAAAAAATAAAAAAAATCACAATAAAAAATTAAAACTGAAAATGTTATAGATGTAGTTCAATAACTTCAAGGTAGATGCATAGTGTCAAAGTCTGACACTCCAAAATTTTGTTATATCAAGGCATCTGTAGGTTACCCACAACACCACCAATAACTTAATACTCCCTCACTCCCATAAAAAAAATATTCACCTTTTTATTTTTTAGTGTTCCAAAATAAATTTAGTTAAAGTACTACTTTATGTAACATTACTCATTTAACTTTATTCCATTAAATTTATAAAAAGTAAATCATCATATTCTTATGGGTCAAGTGCAAAATACACTTCTATAGTATGCTTACAGTGCATATTATATCCCTTCCGTGCAAAAAATACCCCTAAACTATGACATTTGTGCAAATAGGTCCTATTTATAAAAATTGGACTAAAATACCCTTGGCAACACATTTTATAAAATATATATAAAAAAATATTTTGTGAAATGACTAAAAAAGGTTTGGCCCTTCTTCTTCTTCATCTTGATGCTCGCCTCAGAGAGGGAAGAGAGAATACCCATTATATCTGGCAGGAATTGTTGAGGGGGTTCACTGTCTTTTAAGGATTTGAGTTGCTGCTATTGGTGGGTTGGTCCAAGTTGAGGTATATAGGGGTACCGAGAGACTCTGTTGATGTATAATTGTTTTCCGGTGGTAGTGGAGGAGCAGGGTTCTGTTGTTGATATGGTGGCGGTGGCGGTGGCGATGGCGGCGGCGGTTATGAGGAAGAGGGAGTGGGAGGCTGTGATGGGTGTTCTAATTTCAATCTCTTCTCTACCTGTTCATGTAAAATAAGAGAATTAAAAGCACATTTGCATTATGTGTATGTATAAATAGAGAAATTAAGAGATAGGGGTTTCGAGATTTACCTGTTTGAGAGAAGAGAATAAATTGGTATGGATAGATGGTGGTAGTGGTCGTATCTTCCTTGCTTGAGGGGTATGGTATGATTAACCATCAATTAGCCTTTTTAGGGTTTGTATATCTGAATATATGTTTCATCTTTATGGATTAAATCTTTTAGGCTTCGTTTGGATACACAGGAGAGAAAAGAAAGGAAATGATTATAAAAGAAAAGAAAAGAAAGGAAAATAAAGGAAAGGATATTTATAATTTATATTCATGTTTGGATAGATAGGAGAGAAAAGAAAGGAATTGACAATATTGTTATTTGGATAACACAAAGGAGAGAGAAGAAGGCAAATGATAATAATGAAAATACCATCTTACCCTTTTTGGTAGGGTCAGTATGGCAAAATCATTTCAGCCTCTCATTGCCTCCATCTTTGATCCCCCCCCCCCCTCTCTCTCTCTCCAACTGCATATCGGCATATCATTTCAGATTGTTCCAAAAATCAAAACCCATATATTTCAAGCTTGCCCCTCTCTCTCTCTCTGCAACTGAAATGATTTATTACTTGTTTGATTTCGCCTGGTTATGATTTGTGACAGTTTGTTCTTTTTTGTATAACAGGATGCAAAGCCAAGGAAAATTGACCTTAAAAAACGCTGAAATGTTGAACCATTTTGTGTCTATTTACAAAGTAGATGGAGAGAAGCTCATCAATGGCCAATTTAGAATTGTCTTGGAACCATTCAGGTAAGCAGGTTTCTAATACTAGAAAAATTAATAATTTTTATTTCTTAAGTTGTGACTTTTGTGTCCTATTATGATGTCTGTAATTCTTGTTTTGCAACTCTCTCTCTCTGTAACTGCGCAACTCTCTCTCTCTCTCTGCAACTGCAAACTACAAACTATATATATATATATATATATATATATATATATATATATATATATTTCAGCCTCCCCAATAGCCTCCATCTCTTTCTCTCTCTACAACCTGCAAAAATCAAAACCCATATCCGGCTGTCTCTCAACCCTCTTGCCTCTTTTGTAATTTGCTCAATTTATCTCCAAATCCCTCCAGATCTTGTCAATTTTGGAGGAATTCCAAATGAGGGATTTGGAGGGATTGCTATCCCTCCAAATCTCTCCAAATCCTTTCTTTTTTCTCATATTCCTCCCATCCAAACAAACTCATCACTATCCTTCCCTTTCTTTTCTCTCTAAATCCCTCAATCCAAACGAAGCCTTAGGGTTTGTATCTCTGAATATATACTAGATGTCTTCCTCTACCTATTACAACTTGTGAACCATTTTCCTCCAATGGTATTCCTCTCTCTCTCTCTCATTATGGAGTAAAAATATGTCCACGCATATAACATTGTATACTGCATATGCAGTTAATTAGTTGCCAAATCATTGCCATGACTATAAATCTTTGCATTTTCATGGTCAAATGGATATGAACAAATTAAATTCTTTGATATTTGAATGAATCCATACAAGTCAAACCATAGTCCACTGAAAAAGGGTCATTTTGCTGTTACATAAACTTCTAAATCATTCCATCAAATACATTCTTGTAGTCTAATAACCACTTACAGAGAAAAAACACACACACAAAGAAGAAGAAGAATAAGAAGGTTTGGTAGGGGCATTTTTGGAAGAGTAAAAGGGTAAAATGGGTATTATATTAATTGAGGTGTGTTTTCACACAAATTGTAAGGAATATGGGTGTTTTTTGCACACCTTTTTAAATAGGGGGTAAAAGTGCTATGAAAATTATACTTCATGGGTGTTTGTTGCACTTACCCCCATTCTTATAGACTCAACTATGAATAATTTGATAATTCATTTTTTACGGATACAATAAAAAAAAAATTAGATTATTTTATTTTTATTATTATTATTTTTTACAATGAGAGTACTAATTAAATATTCAATTGCTCATTATACAAAAATAAATAAAAATAAAAATAAAAATTGTCCACCTTCGACTATATTAATTTCAATGACACCATCAAATAGTGGACAATTTTTTTTTGGCAAACCAAAACACCACTACACAACCATATATATCTTTTCCTCATAGTACATGTATAGGCCCCATAACCCATGCACCATTTAAGTAAGGAGTGCGATTTGAAAGCAAGACCTTATAAGACTTACCTCTTGAATCCCTGTCAATGCCGCTATGCCCCCAAGAGCCTACACAACCACATTATATAAGCCATTCTTGGTTATTGCAAAGATATCAACAGAAAAACATTTAACAAACATAACAGACATGATATCATTGACTGAAAGCTTGGAAGCCCTAATTCCTCGACAACGGATAATCGAAACCAAAATGATATGGAGCCATGCTTTTGCCACCGTAATAGCAAAAATGATGGACGAAATCACGATGAGACTAGAGGAGGAATCAGCGATTGCAGCAATCACCTTCGTCACAGCACAAGAAGGGTCCCTACTGTATCTTCAAACAAGGGCGAAATAATTTGTTGAACCCCACTATATGAATGTGTTCCAAAAGTATCAACCCAATCAGCCGCTGGGTTAAGATTTCCAATTTGGCCCAAGAAAATAGCTGAGCCCACCATTTGAGTGAGAGTAATAAGCAATAGTGAGCCAATGTGGTGATCCATGAGGCCCAATATCAAAAACATGGTGAGCAACAAAAGAGCTGTAACAGCATGAAGTTTCATGGATGCCATTGACATGTTATGATCAGAGAGAGGATGACAAAGACAAAGGAAGTGAACACCACAATGTTAATTGGGTGAGGCCATTCTAAGCGATGGATGGAGTTTTTATAGTGAGGATTTTTTTTTTCTTCTTCCCGAAAGTTTAAACAAATGCATATGTACAATTTCAGAAAGAAAACTCGCGTTTTCATTCATTGGATTCAGAACAAGCATGCCACATGGTTTGATCGTATTTGTTAGGACTTATGTGACAATCATCGAGATCAATTATAAACTTATAATTGGTACATCCACATGATCAACAATAATAATGCATGGTTTATACTAATAGAAATTGTTTTATTTCAAATAAGTTTCATTACATCTACACAAATGAGAAAGAGAAGATAAAAAAATGGTTCCCTTTGGTGGTCTCTCCTTCTTCATTTTGTCTTATCGCCTTCCTTGTGTGACGTGACGTCCTTGGTTGTTAATTTAGTGCATGTAAAAGGCAAAGAAGGACAACACGGAGGCCCCAACCAAAGAGGCCATGCTGGGGAAGGCGGCGATGGCACCGCTTTTCTCTTCAGCCGGAGCTGGAGCCGGAGCAGTAGCAGCACCAGCTGCACCACCGGCAGCAGCGGTAGCTGGAGCAGGAGCGGGAGCAGTGACGGCCGCTGGAGCAGCCAAGACCGCGCTCAATGCCGCGGCGGCGAAGAGAACTGCGAATGCGATCTTCTTCATCTCCATGGGTGATATTTTATTTTTATTAAGGCGCGATCGGTAAGAATCTTGAATGTATGAGAATGATTGATACCGAGCTCGCACTGGATGTTGGTGCATTTTGGGGAGGATTTATAGTATTTGGTTTCTGCTATTTGTGGGAATAATAATAGCTCTCTCCTATTTTTGTGTCATATTTTTGGCATATAGTTACATTAAGCTGGTGGTAATAGGTGTGTTGAACGGGTCTTTTGTTAGGAATTCATTGGGCGCAATGTGACACGCACGTTTAGTTTAAGTTTTAAAATTAGAAAATTATACATGGTATATATATATATAGGGACAATAATTTGTAACAAATTGATAAGTAGGGCTGATATAAGCTGAATAAGAGATATAACCTAGGTCACTACCAAAGGATATGGGGTGGGTCAGACATACCACAACATTTCACTTAATAAAAATGCTAACATCTTTTTTTTTTTTTTTAAGAGTATTGCTATTTAGCCCGATAAATAAAAACCTACTACTTCATCGAGTCTATTTGACTACTTATATGTCAAATGTAATGGGACCCATTTTCAAATATAAGGTAATTAACTATTTGGAAAATTGTAGTCCATTTTTTAGGTTTCATTTTAATATAGTATCTTTATTAGCTATTAAAGTTTCAATCACCATATATATCAAATTGTAGATCTATTTTATATATGGCATTGCGTCTCGATCTCTAACGCATAGATTTTCCTATGTTTATTGATATAATGATCAAAATTAATGATCTACTTGACTCTAGAAACAAAAACAAAGTGAAGAATTTAAAGAAAAATTGCAAAGAAAATTTGAAAAATATTGTAGTTTTTGTTCTAGATTTTGTACCAATCAAAATTTTTTATTTGAGTACCATGAAAGATATTGTGAAAATGAAAAGAATATGATATGGTTGGTTATGGAAAACTGAAAATATAAGGAAATGAGTTATGAAAAACTGAGTATATAAAGAAAGGAAAATTGACGTATTTTATGGAAACAAATAGGAGTAGTAATGATACTTTTTTAAGTTGAAATTTTATAATAACATGTCATATTTTTACCTAAGTCGATTTTAAGTCAGAATATTAAAGTCATCAAAAATATCATTTCTCTTGATTTAAATAAGAAGTGAAAAAAAGAAAAAACGGACAAGAAAATTAAGAGAATAACTGTGAAGGAAAACAAATTAGAGTTTAATTAAAGAAGAAATTTTTTTATATATATATTTTAAATAGGAATTCAAAGGATTTTGGAAAGTAAAAGTGAGAGGAAAGAAAAATTAAGAGATAATTTTAGTAATTAGATTTTTTTAGGAGGGGCATTAAATATATGTAAATAACAAAAATGAAAGTTGTATCTACTGTTTGAAAGGAGATCTTTCATACCTTTCTCAAATCCCAAATCACTATATTATTGACAAGTTTGTTCCAAGTCCAAATGAAGTTTTAGGTTTGCCACATTTAAGCTGGGCCGTAGGACCCAATTAAAGGCTTTGAAGCCCACCGACTTCGTGTTTTAACTTCCACGTTAAGAGACGTAAGTAGTTTAACCAACCTATGCCACGTGGCAAGAAACGTAATGGAAACAAGCATTAAAAAAAGCGTTTCAACTCAACCCGTCATGAACGTGGCTTGTCGCACAGCTTGCTTGCCAACTGTCCAAGTTTATGTGGGGTCCACACGGCATACATTCACCTATATATATGTCCTTCCCCACACTTAGCTTCCCCATCAGAATTCCAAGCATCAACTCTTCCTTTTACTACTAGGGTTTTTCTCTCTCTCTCTTAAAACTCATTTTCTCTCTTCATTGTATCATCGATCAACAATGGCGCAAGTAAGCTCATTCAAGGCTCTGGCTGTTCTCCTCGTCGTGGCACTCTTCGCTGCCGCTGTATCTGCGCAAGATTTCGGTATGGCTCCGGCACCGGCGCCGGAATCGCAAAATGGAGCGGGGTACTCATTGCCGATCTCTGGAGCCATGATGTGCTCGTCTCTGGTCTTGTCTCTGCTAGCACTTGTGAAGTTTTAGATGTCTATGATTTGATGATTATGATTATATATATATATATATATATATATATATATATGAATGAATGAGAGTGGAGTTGTTATTGGTTAGGGTTTTGAGATGGATGGAGTTTGATATATATATATATATATATATGAATGAATGAGAGTGGAGTTGTTATTGGTTAGGGTTTTGAGATGGATGGAGTTTGAGGGATTCTTTTGTTTATGTGATTATACGATTATACATTTGTTTTACACAGATGAATAAAGATTATTATTATATTTGTTTATGGTATATATATTGTTGGATCATATGGTTTTGTTATTCCATTTGCTATCAGATCTATTAGAATAGATTTTTCAGTATGAGCAATGATATTCACGGTTTGAACGAAATTTGTACCAAATTCAGTTTTACACTTTTCTAATAAATATGCCATTTTTGTTTAATTGGAAAGAATTTTTTTATGGAAAGGAAAGAAAAGGAGGGATCCTTTTTACTTTTAGGAAAAGGAAAAGGAAAGATGTGATGGTATTTTATACATGGTATTTTGAATTCAAATGAATAACAATCAGATTTGTAGTTTTTATTTGTTTATTTATTTATTTTTTATTTTATCAAACTCTAAAATAATCTCATTAGATCGTAAATACATCTGTCACTAAGATCTCTTTAATCTCTTTGAAAAGTTTTTTTGTTTGCTTCAAATTTGAATAATATTAAAAAGCTAGTTTGAATAGGGGTGCAACTTGGGCGGGTTAGCCCAACCCAACCAGAGTCCAGTCTATAAATTTTAAAATGTGGACGTATAAATTCACAATTCGAGTTTAAGTTGGGTTGGGTTTTGATAAAACCCAACCTTATTCGGGTTGGGCTGGGTTTAACCCGAACCCAACCCGAAAGCCCAAATTAAACATAAATCCTTCCCTTTTCTTGACTTCAGGGTTGGACAAACCCTAACTTTCTCTCTCCTCATCCTTCTCTTCTCTCTCTATATCGCCTTACTGCTGTGTAAAGTGTGGATTTGGTCTATTTTTTAATATTGTCCTTCTATGTTCTACACCATTAAATTTGTTGGTGAGTGGGTTTTTGGCACCTTCCATGGTAGAGCTGCTAAAGCAGAGATTGGTAAAATGCAACTTCTCTGCAATTTTGTGAAACTCGTGGAAGGAGAGAAATTCCATTCTTCCTTCTGGTATGGCCAGAAAGGTTGATCAGATTGCTCCTCCCTATGAAGGATATAGAAAATTTTATACTATGTCTGTATTTCATGAATGATTTCTTATTATTATATGTCTGTATTTCATGAATAATTAGAGGGGGGGCAAGCTTGAAACTGAAAGATATGGGTTTTGATTTTTTGAACAATCTGAAATGATATGCCTACATGGGTTTTGAACTTTTGATTCTCGTAGACAGATGGATAAACTGAAATATATGGATTTTGAACTTTTGATTCTTGAAGACAGATGGATAAACTAAAAATATAATCAAATATATATATATATATAAAATTAAAATAAAAAAAAAAAAAAAAAAAAGGGGGGGAAAAGAAAGATAAATAAATAAATAAATAAAATAACCCGTAAACCCGACCCGCCCGAACATATTTGGTCCGGATTATAACCCAACCCATGTTTGGCGCAATTCGGGTTGGCCCAACCCAACCCAATTTCGAGTTGAGGTTGGGTTGGGACTGGACTGGGTTGGGCCAGCCCAAGTTGCACCCTTAAGTTTGAATATGAAAAGCTATCGAAAAAGAGGTCAAAATTACCAGAACAAAAATTGTCATTTTAACGACTTTAAAATGACTCTTAAACTAGTCATTATATTTTTCAAATTTTTTAAATTCACAACACAATATTTTTACTTTCAAATATTTATACCAAGTAACTGTCGTTTGTAGAAGGAAAAGATATGAGGGATTTAATTATAAAGGAAAATTGAAAAAAATAAAATTTTCATGGAATTTGAGAACACTGTATCTTGGGTTTATTTATTCTTTCGCACAGAAAACGTAAAACTGTACATGAGTTACATGGCCCTTAGGCCAGTGTATAATTTTACGTGGACTGTTAGTCCGGTTGGAAATGGATCCAACAAAGACGAAAGCCCAATATAACAAGCCTAGGCCATTTTCCAAACCCAGAGATTCAATCCAAACCCAGAGATTCTGTTTTGAATTCCAAATCTCACCTAATACTGGCATTCCAGTTTTCCAAACACAGTTAAGGGTATAATTGTAATATATATATATATATATATATATATATATTCATTTTTTTCTTTCTGCCAACCAAAAGAAAAGAAAAAAATAGAAAGAAAAAAAAAAAATGTCACCATTAGAAATTATAGCAAATCACTTGGAATAATTTCAATCAAACTCAAATTACAAAAAAGTCCAATTCACAGTTTAAGGACGACAAAGAAGCTGAAAAATTTCCAAGAACCAGCTTCTTAGTCCGCAATTTAACAGATTAAAATGACAGCTAAAATGTAATTTTGCTCTTCATTGATAGAAGCCCACATTCCTCGTCCGAGTAATGAATTGATAGAAATCATCAAACTTATGAATTTTCTGAGCAAACAGGTTTACTATTTCTACTAAATGCAATCTTTTGAATAGAAATCTTTAGCAGGATATTATCAAGAGCTTTTCTGCCTCCCAAGACCCCAGAAAACACACACACACACTGACACACACACTACAGCTAGAAGCAAATCTACAAATATTCTAAAATAGCACTTTCTAGAGTAGCTAACCATGCATTAAACTATGTAGAATAAACCCAAAAAAAAGGAAAAAGAAGAAGAAATAAGTGTGTGGTAGGATTTAATTGATAGAAACCATCAGATATTTTTGTTTCAAATTCGCAGGGAAAAATGGGTAATGCCAGTTAGTGTGAGCTATGTGTAGAAGAATTTAGTTTATATAACCTTGTATTTGCAGGTGGAGTCAGTTTATGTGCTACTGATTTCAATAGTTGACAATGCATTTGATTGAAATGTGACTAATATAAAGTGAAGCCATCATCATACGAGACATGCCAACCTTGTCGACAAGGTGGGGCATTTTCATCATACTCAGCACAACAGCTCCATCTCTTTTTCCAGTTCGCCCTTCCAGTGTTTGGTCGATTATTCTTTTCGTTCCATTTGTAGACGATCACTCCAGACCGATCACTCCACTCTCCATCAATCCCTTGGTGAGGTGGTGCCAATGCATAGAGTCCCTTCTCTCCTGCAAATGTTCAAAGCATGAGTTGCATATGGATATGCAGTAGTTGTTCCATATCTCTACTCTACCGATGCAAATAGATTTTGAAAATTCAATGAACAACACGAAAAATGTGACCACTAATCTCTCAGAGTCATGGTATGGATTTGTTTTGAGACAACTCCGAGTAAAGTCTCCAATTTGATTTCTGTAATAAACTTTAAAACTCACCCTGCAACCACATTCAAGTAACATGGAAACCAACCAAACAAAGGCTTGCTGGTTCAGGACTGGGACATGAAAGTATTGGTGAATCTTCTTTCTGCTTATAGACATCATTGATCATTCGAAATTTTGACTTCTTGGGAATCAGATTGTTTGTCCTCAGGCTGCTGAAAATCAAATTCCAACTGAAATGAAACAATAGATTATTTTGTTTCATTTTAAAGGTAGCTTCTACTTCGAATGAACTTAATTATTACTTGGTCAAAGAAAAAATTTAGGGTAATGATAGTGAAGTTACAATCGCATATTACTGAAATATTTGTTTAATTTTGAGACGAATATCAGCTCGACAACTAGCTTTCACTATGAAAATGGCATACCAGATGGAGGAGGGCTGTCCATAACTTTGAGGATTACAAAACTAAGCATCAATCTTTCTGTCACACATAATCAATTACAGCATGAGTTTTCTAATATCATTTCCAAAATATAACCTCTTAAGCCATAACCAAATGAACCTGAGAGTTTTTAGTACCTTTTTCCATATAAGTTGGAAATTGACCCCAAAAGCATACTAAGCATTTCAACAAGAAAAAGGAAAATAAAACAGAGTACTGATGGAAAGAACTTATCCATTCAAAGAACCAGGTAACTGATTCATGTCTGATCTTGAGCTAATTTCTAACAAAATCAACCACAGTAAAAAAATAACAAATAAAAATAAAAGAAAGACAGAAAAAAAAAAAAAAAAAAAACACATTTAGGAGCCAATCCTCGTAAACGTGAACTCAGCCTAGGCTCTCTCTATAAACCTGCCAATAAGTTTTAGCACATTTTCTATGCCAAATCAATAATTTTGCAAAAAGATGCCTTCACATATGATGTAACTAGTTAAAGGGACAAATTCAATGCTATGCACAAGCAATGTATTTTATGTAAATGGGAGTATTAGTGGTGGCGGTGGTCTGCCACTAAACGTAAAGAAGAATGATGGCACTGGTGACATGATGCAAGTGGTGGTGGCGGCACTTGAAGAACAACAGATGATGGAACAACATAATACTAGTTGTTTATGCAGTGTAGATAGTAAATTTGTAGGATGAGGTGATGGAGGTTGTGATGCTTTTGGTGTTAACTATTGAGTTTTGGTTATCAAAATTATAATTGAGAAATTCTGTTCATATAAAACTCATGCTAATTAATCGTTCCTTTAGATGTGCAGAATAACTATTAAAACTCTAACTTCACTCAAACTCCAAAAAGAAATTGTAATATCCAGCAATGGATTTATTACCCATTATTGAAATTCTAGTCATTTTTGGTATTACGGAAAATCATGGTGAAGCTTGTACTTTTTGTTGCGAAACTGAAATGAAATGTAGGAACTCACACCAGGGTGTATTGTGTGTTCCATACTAAGGCATTTTAACAGAAATCTAGACAGGATATCTAGAAAAATAAATCTTTTCAAAAATTTTAACTTCAATTGGAATGAAAAGATTCAAAATTTTAAACATAATCTATATGAGATAACTTCAATAATTCCTAATGTTTCTATATTAGAATGACAAAGAAAGTACAAATCGTATTCCAACAGCAAATAAAAATGAATGTTGTTTGACCACGAATTGTTACATAAAATTCTAGCAAAACCATTCAATTGAAATTTGAACACTCCCCTAATGGCAAGGACATAAATTCTAAGCCATACATTTAGTTGATAATCTAATCATAAGTTGCATATTTTAGCTGGCAGTTAATACTATTCTATAATAGATGATTCTTTAAGAAAACAATGACATTCTTACAACTTCAGTTGTTCAGGTTGTTCTTCATCTTTTCTTTTCTTTTTCTTTAATTCTAACATATTGTGTCCTCACCCGAGCAAGACTATTCCTCGGATACCCGAGATCACTTCCAAATCATGGATATCGGGTTAAGAACACATTCACATGAATCGAATAGAAGACCTTGAATCAATGCCCAAAAATCTTGTGACAACTAAGAACTTACTTGGTTTGTAACTATGGAATCAGTTTTCTGTTTTTCGAGAACAAAAAACTATACAAAAAATTCTATTTGGTTTAGTTTTCAGAATTTTTAGGAAACAGTCATTTATAATTATCTGAAAACTATTTTTTGATTTTCTAAGAATTGTTTTAAGAGTTACAAATCAGGCATGCTCTAAGCTACCCTGAACCAATTCAACACTTTGAAATTTAAAATTAGAGAAAATTTAGTCCAAAGCACAGAATCAGTGCTCCTAAATCCAACATCAGATTAATCAAAGACAGAAAATTGTTACTCAGTTCTCTATACAGACAAATTTTTCACAGGGGCATTTCAGATAATTTCTCAAATTAGCAGCAACTTCATATATATATATATATATATATATATATGCATACCAGTGGTGTGGCCATGGAACGAGCAAGAAGTTGGGGAATTATCTTTGTCATGGTAGAGAGTATTGCATCTCAAGCATCTCTTCTCTGCGTGGATGACTTGGAATTTTCGTGGCTTTCTCTCATTGGTATGTGAAGATTTCTTGGTCTTCATCACATTTGATGGGTTGGGTAGAAAATTTTGAGAAAGCCTGTGACTCAAAGCCATGTTGGTTGATGATGAATGGGTTTTTTTTTTTTTCGGTTCCTGAAATTGAATGATGAAATTTGTCAAGTGGAGAATGGGGATTGGGATTGGGATTGGGGGCTCTTTGCCCTCATGCGAGGTGGGGAAGCTTTCCTCCTTTTACAACAGAGAGGACTGTGCCTGCCAGCATGTCAGCAACTAATGACCACATCTCTCTCAACTGGACCACTCCATTGGGCTTCTCATTGGCCCATTAAAAAGTACAAAAATATACTTTTGGACCATTATATTGGGCTTCCCATTGCCCTTCAAGGGACACCCCCCACCCCCACAGTACCCCTCCACAATTATATGCTACAAAAAGCACTTTACAATTTTTTTGGGGGGAAGAAAGTCGTTCACACACACTTTTTTTGCGGGAGACTGTACCAATAGGCAAAATGTCTTTTGGTAAATAAATAAAAAAAAGCACTTCGAATAATTTTGTGATGGTTTGATCTCTTAAATGTTGAAAAAGAAGGTCTCTTGAATGTTCGAACTCTGTTAGGGGAGTAAATATTTTGTAATGGTTTGATCTCTTCTAGAAATAATATTTTGAGTGTCCGTATTTATTTAAACTTTGGGGGAGAACAATTAAATAAAATTGTTATTTTGTTAATTAAAAAATTCAAAATGGAGTTTAAGTGGAAAAGTGAAGTGTATGTGTACTAGCTAGCAGTAGATTAGCTCACATTCTAAGGTCCTCTAATTTTATTTACTTGATTTTCTGTTCAAATTTTTTTATTTTTTTATTGAGCTTTGCAAATGCATGCTAGTGCATAACCAAAGTAATTAAAAAAAAAAAAAAAAAATTCATTGCCATTTTGTTGTTCCTACCAACCAATTTTACTTGTGTTGAGAAATGCTAAACAGATTCCACACTAATTCTTCTTTCAATCTCCTTATATGATGAAGGGTTTTTAACTAATTTTGCTTATTTCTTCTACATCATGTTCATTTCTGCCTACTTCATTAATTCTAATATTCTTTTATTAATTATTTTCTCACATATGACACATGCATTGTACTTTTTCTTGTTTTAAATTTGAGAAACAATTTAAATAGTTTTCTCCAAGGAAATATAATTATTACATAAGTTTTATAATTGCATTGAATTTACTTCTATAGTGGTTATTAAATATATATATATATATATATATATATATATATATATATTCTTTGTGGTAGGTATGGTAATTGTATTGATATATATATATATATATTCTTTGTGGTAGGTATGGTAATTGTATTGATACAAAGAAAAGAAACTGTTATCAAGAGATACCAGGCTTTAAGAAGCCAAGCAAAAGTAAAGACATGCAGCAAGCACTCTACAAAGTACACACACACACACACACACACACACCAGAGAGAAGGCAACCCAAACCAGAAAAGTAGAACAAGCCAAACTACGACTAGTTACCACATGGATGGAAGATTTTCCAACAATCTGAATGCATGTGCTGGGAAGCATTAATTCAATCTGCAAATTTTTAAATCTCAACGATACCAACCTGCATTAATTATATATATATATATATATATGAAAGTTTTTTTAAATTATATAGGTCCCCTAGCCAAAACTGAGCAATGGTTCTGAAATGCTATGCGATTCCGCCTTTCCCTCCGTATATCATAGACTGTAGCTGCGAGAGCCAGCCTGCTAACGAGGTTGTGGATGTAAAAGTCTGTCTTTGAAATGATATTTTGCAATCTAAACAAACCCTAGCCATTGGGTCAATCATTAATTAGCCCAGCTGATATAATCTCTCCTTTCTTAAAGAGAAGTGAGGGTTTCGAGCCAGCCCCATAGTAGGGCATTTGTTGGCATGTGTAGAGTATTTACTTAACAAAAAAAAAATCTAAACAAACCCTAACTAAATTTTTTTACCTTCTTCATTCGTATGGAAAATTGGATGAATTTACCTTTTCTTTGTTTTTCTTTTTATTTTTTTCAGGAAGGATTTAGTAAAACTTAGTCTACCACAAGGAAAATTCAACTTTAGGGTATAGTTAGGAGGGGGAACACGTATTTATAGCATGGACTTTTTTTTTTTTTTTTTCCTAGTTGGTACTTACACAGACATGCCTCCATGGAGGCTTAAACCTTTAACCTCCCTTTGAGAAGTAGGAGCCTGGTACCACTAGGCCACTTGCTTGTTGGTATTACAGCATGGACTATATATATGTGTGTGTGTGTGTAAAGCTTCCAATCAAAAGATAACATAATTCACAAAGCTGAAAACACAATTCTTCTATATCACATTGAGAACAAATCATTTACAGGAACTTGTTCCACATAACATCAAGCTAGGAAGAATTATTTTTGGTGTAAAAAGGAGATAAGAGTAAGGAAAAGTTATCTCAAAGCTAGCTATGTGCCTTAACCACATATATATATGTGAAACTGATGATCTCTAAAGATTAATTGAGGTGGTTCTTGACCAATTTCAAATCCCAATTCTCTCACATTGAGGAATCACCATCTTGTTCGATTTCGGATGCAGGTTCATCCTCCAACTCTTCAAAGCAATCAATACCGCGAGCTCCGTGTCCAAGGCCAAAGGCCTTAATGTGGTCTTTTAGAGACCTCTTGTGCTTAAAATCAGAGCCACAAATGCAGTACCAAATCTTCCCACAATTCTTCTCATGTGTTCTCCAATCACCTTTCACTGCAAATGCCTTGCCACATTTCCTACACATGAAGGGTTTTGTTCCATGCTTTCTCTTGTAATGTGTTTGGAGGGTTCTGAAGTCTTTGAGTGGCCTTGACCTTGGGTGATCAATGTTGTGCTTGCATCCTGGTGCACAGCAATAGCAAGGGAGTCTTAGCATTGCAGTTGGCTGGATTCCCCTCAAAGATTCAGGTCCTCTTCTATACTGAGATCCATGTCCCCACATATGCATCTACAAAATGAACCAAACCCCAAATTGACATATAATTATATATAATAGATAGATAGATATAAAGAAATGTTCACTTGTTCCGTGGTGGTGTGCGAGAAAATCTAAGCACAACTCAAGTATTAACCGTCAGATCTCACTGGACAGTTAAAAAGGCAGTTTATGTTTCTATATTCAATGGTGAGGATTTAATTCGTGAATAAATTACTTCCACACCAGTGAGCAGATAAACAAATCTATATATCTATGTGTGTGAAGAGAGAAAGAGAACAAAACAAAAAAAATTGTACAATTAAACTAGTCTTCATAGAATCAAGAGAATATATTGGGAAGGAGACATAATAAATTAAATTAGACCTCCTACCAAAAGTACTTAAATTAAAGAAAAACAGATTATATTAATAGAAGTCAGGGCCCTCAAAATCAATGAGCAATTATATATATATGTGTATATAAGGTCAGTTGAAAACAATTGGTATGATGAATGTGAATTTAAGATTACAGTAATTAAACAGTAGAATCGTCAATATGACAAAGGCTTTCAATATTAGAATACTAGCTAAAGGGTGGTTTTTGACACTATTAGATCTTTTACGGAGAGCAGGCCATTGATGAAGATCCTCAGAAACTTGGAAGCTGTACTGAAAAGTTTATTACTTTTACTTTTACTGATTAGTTTCAATTGGGTATTGCACAAACTTCAAAGATCAAATGCATATGGAGTTAGCATTGTATGAATGGTTGAATTAAATACAGAAAGAAACTGGTCTTGGTCTGAGTTGGAGCATATGGATACATAGTATTTCATCTTAACTCTCAAGGAAAACTTAAAGTGCATGCAATTGAAAACCCAAAAAATAATGAAAGAAGGAAGGAAGAAAAGGGAGGAAAAGAGTCAAAACAAACAAAAGGAAGATAAGCCCTATTATTATACAGATCATTGGGAAAAAATGCAGATTTAAAAATATTAAGAGGATGAGAATATGTATGATAGACCTAAAGATTTAAAAGAAAAAAAAGAATAGTTCACTTCATTGCTAAGAAATATTTATCAAACATTGTATTAGCTAGATAGACCTCCTCAATTTAACAAAAAAAAAAAACTTTGAAAGATTTTGAAGTATGAGAAATTAATTGACTTGGGTGTGTTTACGCACCCAAATATTAATCACAATATATCAAATGCCTTGGAGGTGCTATGAGAAATTAATTGACTTGGGTGTGTTTAAGCGCGCACCCAAAGAATTACAATCAAATGCCTAGCTTGGAGGTGCTAAAGAAACCTAACTTAACCTTTCTAAGAATATCTTTGGAAGCTATATAGTGTAAATGATAATAGACCTCAAGATTTCGCTTGTGCAATTCAAAAAGAGACCTTTAATTGCTGCAAGAAAAACACATATATATTTATTTATATAATTGAAGAAAACTCTTTAACTTGATTAACATGAATATCATTTGAATAGAAGAGATCGAGCTGGAAATCCCAAAAAAATAATGAAGTTTTGAAGAACATATATAAGATCGAGATGAAATTTTGAGGTCCAAAGTATACCTGTAGGTTGTTGTATCTATTGAAGGTCTTGCAACAAACAGGACATGAGAACTGTGTAGGACCAATGAGAATCTGAGAAGGTGTAGGAATCCAGTACTGACCCTTGTTAAGTCTGCTCAAAGGATACCCTGCAACAACAGTACTAACACCTTCCTTGTGATCTGTCACTTCTGAAGGAGGAGGAGAGACCCTAGAAACCAAATCAGAACTAGGGCTAGGGAGCCCTATATTTAGAGCTACAGTTACACTTTCCTCATCACCAATATCAGCAGTACTACTAGAAAAGAGGCAGTTCTCATCTTTTGATGAGTAGTACTTTCTCTTGTCATCTGACTCCATGGCACTGCATGAGGACTCATGCTGATCGTCTTCATCTCTTCTGAGGCTAAGGCTGTTTAGGAGAGGAAGAGCTTCTCTCACAGGAGGTGATGAGGGAGGTGATGATGAGACTATTACTTGATGATGATAACTACTTTGAATGGAAGATTTGTTGGTGTTGGTGTTGTTTGAGTACAAGTTGTAGAGATGGGGAGGAGTGGAAGGAGGGTTTGAGTACTGAGAGTGTAGGTGAAGAGGTATGAAGTTGAACCATCCACTCAAGAAATTGGAGTAGGGTTCTGTCATGGTGAAGGATGAGAGCAAAAAATTGTAGAAAATTAGATGATTTGAATTAAACTTTGGTACCAGATGGAGTAATGCACATACATATATACATATATATATATAGAGAGAGAGAGAGAGAGGGGGGGGGGGGAGAGAGATGGGAAGAGACAGAGAGAGAGAGAGAGAGAGAGAGAGGAGCAAAGGGGTAGGACTTTATGAGGAAGTGATAGTGATGACTAAGATAATTGTATTAAATAATTGAATGTAAAAGAGAGTGTGTGTGGAAAATAAGGAAATTTACCCCCTGCAAAACCAAGAAGATAAACTGGTGATCAGAAGATAATAAAGGAAGCTAGAAAGAAAAAGCCAAAGAGAGAGTCAGAGATTAGACGTGCAAGTTAATTGTCTCCTGAAAGTGCTGTGTGTGTGTGTGTGTGTGTGTGAGAGAGAGAGAGAGAACATTCTGTTGAGTTTAACTTTTTCTCTTTTATTTTGATTCAAGCAAGCAACAGTTTCAACCTTGAACCCCATCCAGCATTTGCTTTGGATGGTGTGTTTATTGTTTGTGTTATACAAGCACATCAAAGTTACTGTTCCTTTCATCACCCTTCTTTTTTTTGTTCCTTGGCTCAGTCAACACACTCATTAAAGCAGTTGTCATGCTGTGGAAGATTTAAAAATTACTAAACTAGCTCCATCTTTGTATGTGTTAGTTACTAATTAACTTCTTGTTCACATCAGTCTTAGGGAACACTAATTAGAAATAAAGAAATTCATATGCATAAATGGTATATAAATATATATTAGAAATTAAGGTATATATATACAATTTATAAGAGGTACAAATTAGAAATGTTATTTTTTACCCACCATATATCCAAAGACACAAGGCAATGAGACCACATAAGAGACACTTGCTGTGCTTATATATATATTAAAGAGGATGCAATTAAGACTAAACCAACACACACACACACAACCCCACCCCACCCCCCCCAAAAATATATATATATATATATATATATATAAATAAATATAAAAATTAACTTAACTTAAAAATCCTTAACACCCCTTGGTTATTCCTTCTCATAATTTAATTATGAGTTGTGAAGGCATATAGTATTAATCATTACATATATCAAAATTTACTGTCCTCATATAGTATTAATCATTATATATATCAAAATTTACTGTCCTCTCTCTCTCTCTCTCTCTCTCTCTCTTACTGTACATGCACAAGCTTGTGTGAAAGCTGGGAGGCTCCCGGCATCTGTCTATCATGATCATCAGTTATTGAACAGATGATACTGATGGCTAGCTCTTCAATCCCCATTCATGTCAAGTCATATTAAAATCTGGATTATTTTTTTTTTTTAATTCATACCAAGTTTTTATTTTTAAACATTCAGTTAGGCCATCTAATCACATTGCTATGACATTCTATTCTTATGATTCATTTCCATTTTTTATTTTTTTATTTTTTTTTTTTTCAACCTTCAGTTAGACCATCTAATCACATCCAATTATGTATATAGTTATTATTTTAATTAGTGACAAACAAATTTCTTAAAAGGAAAAAAAGAATATCAAAGCACTTCTATCTTTTTATTTTCTAATTCTTTTTGCTTCTAATGATTATCAAATTAACCAACATACAGTACAGATTGATATTAATACTAGCCGTTTTGAAAGGTATATTTTTAGATGCTTTTGACAAGAGAAACTCAAATTGCACACTAAAAATATAAGGCAAGTAATTTTTTTTTTTCCCTACTAATTTTTATTTATTTGTACTTGCTGTCGGTGTACCTACGCAATAGAAATTTGACACGTGGAGTCTGTATTATTAACATGAAAATGAGAGGCAAATGTAAAGCTAAATCGATTTAAAGAAACGCAGACAAAGAAGGTAACAAGGATAGTGATGGCCGGCTTAAGTACTGCTACAAGAGAGTCTTTGTTCTTTGGGGTGCAAAATATATGTCAATAATGGCATAAACTGTAAAGTTAAGTAGGAGTGCACTGAAAAATAACTTGTAGTATTATCTCACAGCTGTAACTCTTCTGTACCTTTCTGTGGATCCTAGATCCTTCTAACTCCTACCACATTGTGTGTGTGTGTGTGTGTGTGTGTGTGTGTGTGAGAGAGAGAGAGAGAGAGAGAGAGTTTGATGTTGAATGTGAAGAGAGCTAGAGAGAGTTTGATGTGAATGTGAAGAGAGCTAGAGAGAGTTTGATGTGAATGTGAAGAGAGCTAGAGAGGGAGGGGGAGTTTGATGTTGAATGTGATCAATGTTATAGGTTTGAAGGGTATTAATTTTCAAGAGATATAAGTGGGCAAAGGGAAATGGGAAAATGCTGTGGAGAACATATTGGGTATATGGTATTTTCTCTGATTTTTTTTTTTCGATTTTTTTTTTTTTGAAAAGTCAGTTTCAATTAAAAAAACGGTTACACAATTCTTCTCAACAAGTATTGCTCTCATGCTACGTGCGCATTTTCGCTCAAATTCTTATTGCTTATGATTTAATTATATCGTTCTCACTCCCGCTCTCGAATTCGCTCTCGCTCTCGCTTTATGTGACTTAAGTTTTTTCTGTCTAAAAAAATATATATAGATTGTAGAAATAAAATAATTATGAAAAGACAAATGCTAGGGAGGTACACTTCAAGACATGTTCTTATTTTGTGTTTTAATTGAAGTGAAGGGACTTAACTACTAATTTGGTGTTTTTCTAACACAATTATTAATGAGGGTCTTGACAATCTCTTTCAGCAAATAGAATTCAATAGGAAAATGTTGAGACAATTCACTTTGATATATGAATTTAAAAAGTGCAATATTGCTTCACAATTTTTTGCAGTACAATATCCTCAACCAATTTAATTAATACGGTAATCACTATAATTTAAAATACCGAATTTATCATCAACTAATAATTTTACCTTTGGCAACTCCTCTTCCACTAACATTTACAATATTAGAGCTTAGAGTTCAATTACCTTACCCACAAAAATAAAATAAAAAATAACTTGAGTTCTATTTTTTAAAACTTTGACTAATAGAATTTTGGATTAGGTTTCATGTTCATATTTTTAGGGTTTAATAATGTTAATACATTCAAGGATTATTGGTAATAAAAAAAATGATAAGAATTCAAACTTTCAAACATGAGAATGGGATTTTGAAATGCCCCGATTTCTTTTTTTCATTTCTTTTCTTTTACCAATGACTCGATTGACACCTAATCCACCTTCCCATCACTATTGATCAAAGAGTCACACACTGGATAATGGTTTTTGTTTTGCTAATACAATGTGGGTGAGTTAATTTTGACACAATAGTAAAATTATTCTAAAAATTACGGATTTAAAATGAAAAACAATCTCTCCCTATACAGAAATAAAATTGCATATATCTTTATTAGATATATCAAACAAAGTAGGGATCCTCCACTTACATGTATGCATAAATAAAGAAATGGGATCTTCCACTTACATGTATTGTGTATAAATAAGTAATGAGAAACATTCGGTAATGTAATTCACTATAACAAATCGGTGCAAGTATTATTACTCAACAAAGTATGACATTCGTTTTGATTTCGGTAAAACATAACATTGAAATCTAATTAGATCTCTTGACTTTCAAAACATCTTGCATTAATATAAAATCCTAATATAGAGAACCAATATTTAGTTTTGCTCAAAACCATAATTACTATTTTGAATGAGGACCCTTGGAACTTTGGTTGACCATTAGGCATAATGAAAAAAATGAATCTTCCTTTACTTCAAAATTTTTTTACTTAGCCCAAAGCAAAATTGATGTGACAATTGAAACCTAGTTAACACCAAAGGAATTGTGGAAATTACAATTTCTTTTCCCAAGTCAATCAATTCTACAATATAAAATGGTAACTCAAAAAAAGGGTGTCTTAAATGCACCTTCATCCTGAGGTTAAATTAAATAATGATAGTGGGTCCCAAAGCCTAATAAATTATAACCAAAAGTCTCCAAACAAGGTCTTACTTTTGACCACAATTCATGAATTTGTATTCTATATTTAGTTAGTGTTTCCAAGACTGCACGAGTGTCTTTGGGAGATGAGGCTTTTTGTCTTCAAGATTTGTTTTGAGTCTCCCAAACATCTCTGCCTCCCAATTTGGAAATCCCAGGAAGGCCAATCAAATCCTTCTTTGTATGTTTTGGATGTGTTTTTTGTTTATTAAGAAAAAAAAAAATTTAAAAAAATAAATAAATATTACCTACTACTACTATTTTCAAAACTTTAAATTGGTTCCATTTACCTCAACTTACATGCATGCATGCATGTGTAACATGTGTTCCATGTCAGTACATTACTTGAACTCTTGTCAGATCATGTGTATGTATGTGTCTTAATTGTCAAACTTCAATTTCAAACATTAGGACACAAAAGATATCACTTAAAGTTGAATAAGAATAATTAACAACTTTTTAAAAAAATCAAGCAGATGTCTCACATTCCATCACTTGAAAGTCACAAGGGTGTTACTTCCATCACCCAAAAGTGCAACCACTCTTAGCCTTAGTATATATTGAATGTGCAAGACCCGCCACGTTGTTAGTGTACTCACCTAATAATAAGTAATATTTAAAAAAAGCTAATTTATTTATTCATAAAATTATTAATAACGAAATAATATGTAATGTTTCATTAAATTAGTACACCTGTGACAAAATGATTTTACCCATATGAGAAAATGATTGTGGTACACGACTAAAGCATGAGATTTAGTGATATATTGCTAATCTTTGTTTGAGTCTTTCTCAAAAGTATTGTGAAAGTTTAAAAATTAAAAAATAAAAAATAAAAAAAAAATTGCAATGCAAAAAACTAAACCCTACTTCCTACTCTATTGTGGTCATAATTCATGTTAAAAGAATTATTTGATAAAAACACAAACTAGATAAAAACTTGTCTCATGTTGATGTTTTCAAACTCAATATATGAGTTTGAAAACATCAACATGATTTTTATTTATTTATTTATTTTAAGAAAATGGTGGTGGTGTCAAGTCTCCTACATCAGTTCATAATTTACTACTTCCCAAAATTTTCTTGGGTGACCCCAAGGGAGTCCGAACTCCCAACCTACAAATAGGATTAGAATTAAAAATATATAATCAAAATCATGTTAAGCACAAGTTAACTAGATAAAATGTAGTCTCATCATTCAAATTTGAAAAATAACGATGTGATGAGATCCACGCCTCCCACACAAACAAACTTCATTCGGCATCCTCCAAATCGGAAGAATATATCTTTATTCTTGTAAATGTGAAGGTATATACTGAAACAAAAATCAGAAGAAAAGTTAGGGTTGTGTGCGGTAATGTGAAGTTGGAATAGGACTTATCATAGAGTCATGGAGAAGATAAAAGTGGACTGACTATTTTGGACACTGGTGTGGGGGATGTCAGTAGGAGGGAGTAGTAATACTCAATGCCAATTATATAAACTCACTGTTCACATACTAACATGACGTCACCACACACTCGCATTTGCTCCCTTGTTTCCTCCACGAAAGTAATGCTCTCTCTCTCACACACACACACACACACAGTTCCTCCAGTCAGATGCCGACATGGGCTATACAATAACCATCACTGGCAGTTTGTTTACCTTCTATATAGGCCTGCCTACTTAGTCTGAAAGTTATTAGGGGAAGTGAAAAAAATACTCACAGTTTCGTACTACTATTTCTCTCTCTTGTTTTTTTGGGAAGTTTACTATTCCTCTCTCTTGTTTCTGTCAAAATCATTACTTACAATTTAATTCTTCACTCTATAAATTAAATGAAGGAAACACTAGACATGTTTGAGAAATCAAAGAGAGCATACCTTAAAGCAATGTTAAGAATGTTCCGTCCTAACACAAAGATATTAATGGGTTTGAAACTAAAAATAGCATTGCGTACCCGTGACCTACAGTGGCCGGAGCCTCATACATTCCGATTTGTGTGAAAATCATTAGAATTTAATTCTTGATTCTTAAAAAAAAAAAAAAAAAAACCCTAGAATATTAAAGATTATTAAAATTGAAAATGAAATCAAATTTCAATGGAACTGGCAACTTAGAATAACTTAGAATTTGAATGGAAAGATAATTCAAACTAAATTTCCTCGGATTTCAATTCAATGACCAATTCAGTAAGCTCAAATACAACATTAATGATTTTATTTTATTTTTATTTTTATTTTTATTTTTTTTGTGGTAATTTCATCCTCTCCAAAAACCAATACTACCTTTGTTATTGGCAAACAAATTTTATATTACTAGCAAAGATAATTATTAATTATCTCAACTCTTTTATTTATTTATTTATTTTTTTCCACCTTTTAAAAGATTTGGTTGCAATTTTGCCTTCCAATATGTTTCTCAGATCTTTTACTTTTTTCCAGTGAACTTATCCTTACCTACCATTATATATAGAGCCTATATATATATTACATATATTATCAGTTGGTGCTTATTTGATTTGCACACACGTCAGAGGGGAAAGAAATCTAAAACTGATAGGCTTTACTTGATTCCTCGTTCAGAAAGTAGTTGTCAAGAATACAAAAAACAAAAAATCGTTTTCAAAGTTTTAAACCAAACAGACCCTCTACAAAACCTCTTCATTTGGCAAGAGAAAGAAATTAAACATAGCCCAGTTATATCCTAAACTCTATTATAGAGTATAAGACATAGGGTTAGGGACAAATTGATCTGAAAAACAAATGCAGATCTCCTGGAATTCTTATCCAAAGGCCGAGTAGGGGCCAACTTAAACCACGAGGGCCAAACTGTACTCACAGAGAACATGTATTCAGCACCAAAAAGGACTGGTCACATTATCACAACCACATTAAATGGTCCATCAAATTTTTATACTACAATAAATGAACCAGAAAGTCCATTTTGAACCCCGCAATCATTGCCTTATGCTAACAATATGTCCAGCAAACCATCAATATCATGCCCTTTTTTTGTGATGAGGTGTTTACATCAGTTTAACCAAAATTACAGAATTTATATGTTTTACCCTCTTTTTTTTTTCTTTTTTCTTTTTTTTTGAAAAAAACCCTAATCAATTGAAAAAAAAAAAAAACCCTGCAAAATTGTTAAAAAACTTTGGAGGGAAACAAATTTCCAGAAAACAACTTTAACAGGAAAGACTAGGTGTTAGCAATCACACTGCTTGAATGAGTTTTCAAATATTTCTTTCTCACACTGAAGTAACCAAAAAAATAAAAATCCCTTTTTATTGAAATGAAAGAAGTTTTAAAATGAATACCTACAAATAGCAAATAAGAGGAAATTGCAGAAATAATAGGAACAGTGATTCAAGGAAAAGCACACATCAACTGCTAAATCCCCAACCAATATGATGAAAGCAATAACAGCATACTTCTTTCAATACACAAATGCATGATTAAGATGGCATAGACAAGGGGTGATGATCATTGTTGACATCTACAACATCATCTTTATCCAGAAAATAGGAAAATTTATTGAGTGAATATAATAACCATATTTCCAATACCATCAAGAAAAGAAAGAAAGAAAAAAATGCTGACGGTTTCGGTTGATTCCATCCTTGATCAATTGGCCTCAGTTTTACAAGCATTTTTTTTTTTTCCTTATAAAAAAAATAATAATAGTGAAATATCATATTATCTCAACAGAGAACTCCAAATAATGTCATTTTGTGCAAAAAATAAAATCTGCAGTCTCTAACAACCTATTGCAAGTGTCTTACGGGGTTGTCACAAGGAGAGGGTGGCAGAATATAGACCTCTCTCTTAAAGAGCATCGATGCAAATATGACATTGACAGCATTTATTGGCTTCTGTGCCATTTGAGCTTATCGGTATGACCCTGGAGCCACCAGTGAACTGAAAACAAACAAAACAACACATTATGTACACATTTTGCAGTATTCCAGCACATGGAGCGCACACAACTGAGTGTGTTGAAAGGAGTACACCTGAAAATGATCTTTTAGCAATGACTTCTCAACTCTCAAGAAAATAGGGTTGGCAATTTACACACCATACATATGTATATAGGACCACAGAGTGAACATAGTATAACTATTCAATAGGAGATTCATAAGCAGATCGCTTTCGAGACCTCTCGGATTGCCCATTCATATTAAGCTACTTCAGTTAGTCATAGAGTAGTATTACCATCAGTAGTACATCATAATGATGAATCTCATTCAAAAAGGGCATCAGATTCCATTGCTTAAACTTAATTTCAGTCAGAACATACCAGTAATGACATTAAGGTGCAAAACAAATAATGTAGCTTGCAAATAGTTGCATTCTTTAGCTTGATGCCATGTGGTGGTCCTTATGGAAAGGTGTGTCGCAAAATTCCGTACGAGAAGGACATTTCCTGATCAACAAGCCATCCCCTTTTAGCCAAATTGGATGGTGACGGTGCTATAGGCCACAAAATCCACCACAATAATGTTTAAGGGACCACCGTCCTAACTAATTTTGATGCAGCCCAATCTAAACTAAAAGCATATCCAAATGCCTTAGCAAGGACAAAGAAATCAATCATTCATTCATTTGATGTAATCGAACAGCATGTCATTTGGAAGTCAATATTATTTTTTCAAATAATCTTTCTAAATATGATTCATATGAGAAACTTTTCTTTCTTCAAATTTTCAGAAAAACAAAATGAGTTGGGGTACAGCAGTAAAGGGCATCAACTCTTACTCCCCTCCCCCCATTAAAAATTTGTGTATGTGTATATATGATATATCATCAAATTGAGTTGACCTAAACCAGAATTTTCCAACTAGGTGCAATGAATTACCTTTAACACATTAAAGAGAGCAAAAAGATGATATAACCCTCTGAAAATATAGATAAGAATATCACATATCTCAAACTACATGTAAACTGTATACAAACAAAAGACAATTAACCGTGGGTAGAAAATTAGAAATCCCAATGCATTGCAGAAAATTGATATAACCTCTGTAAATAATGCTAGGAAATTATGCTAGAATAACTTTATCTCAATACCAATAACTACACATAAATGAATCTACCAAAGAAAAAGAAAATAAATAACTGGACATAAAGAAACAGTATTGTAACTGAAGAAACAGGGTTGGAAAAGTGGAGAGGTGAGAGGGAAAAGTGCCAAATGGTGCCAGTAACTTTCGCTTGACAATGATATGCTAGGATCTAATAAGATAAACAAGAGAAAGCATATGACCAGGAAATGAATAAGGAATTATAACCAGTTAAAAGATTAAGAATGGAAAATATCATAGACAAGCAGCCACAGACAGTTGATTGGACTATATGTGAGAAGCACGTGAATTCAAAAATTAGTTTGCAACAGCATCACTAACTAGCTGGTAAGGCAAGCTGTCATTGGACCTAACCACGTTAAGTTCAGGTGGGAATCACATGGCCAATGCCATTTAGGACTCAGTGAATTTTTTATGATCACTAACTGAATTCTACCAAATTTGGGTCTTGAAACAACTTTTTTTTTTTTAAAGGTACGAGTCTTGAAACTTGCCAACAACTAAGTAAATCTCCAATGCAAAATGCCATTTTTGCATGTCAAATCTATATTTTGAGAGGAGCTATAGTGTCAAAATGCTATATTTTAGCAATTCTGTTTCAATGGTGCATTTCATTCAAAATGTTATTTTTTGACACAACCACCATTATTTTTCACCTACCATTCCCAACTATAATTTTCAACAACCAATTTTTATTTTTTTTTTTTTTTTTATTTTTTTATTTTTTTTTTTTTTTTGTGAGTGTTTGTATTTTATTTAGCTTATTTGCCTTATTAAAAATAAATAAATAAAAACATTGACATATATATATATATACAAGCACAACAAACATATATATACACACAACAGACATATACATATATATACACACAACACTGAAATATATATGTATATACAAGCACAACTGACATATATATATATATATACACAAGCCCAACACCAAATTGGCAGTCTATGCGAGAGAGAAGAGAGAAGAAAGAGAGTAATAGCAGATTTGGCAATAGCTATATGTTGTGTTATATTTGGCACAACATTTGGCAAAGTTATATTTTGGCAACCCATTTGGCATGCCATTGGAGAGCCCATTTTAAACCCACATGCTATATTTTGAAAATAACAGCCCAAATAGCAGCCCATTGGAGTTGCTCTAAGAAGAAGAAAGTTAAGAGGGGAATTCAAAGAGCCTTGAGCTTAGAAGAGAACAAGGTAGTAGGAGTCCAGAGTAATAATGGATGCTGAACCAAATAAGAACTACCCAATGGCAGCTGGTTTGGACCGTTGGTTCACTTTTAAGCATTTTCGCACCATTGACCATGACTGAGTAGCACAACTTGTGGACTGACAAGTGGAAATTAAATGAAAGAAAAAGAAAAAGAAAAAGAAAAGTATATACATGTGAAAGTAGATCATTTAACTAGATTGAGTAAAAATAATAAAGACTGAACCAGAGAAAGAAATGCTTTGTATGTCAGGTCCAAAACCAAAGTAAAAAATAATTGAAGTAGCTGCAAGAGAGAGAATAAGATGAAGAATAAAGAATATTATGTGTAGCAGAAAAAGAGAGGGAACCCTGCTTTGTGCAGTGGTATATTGCTCAGGCTGTCAAGCATGGCGCGTATGAATCCTGAAATCAGCCACTTTGTGTAGATAATGACAAAGATTAAGTTTGTATCCAGTCCACCCCTGATTAAAGGAGATCATGACCCTCTACGTGTAGCTGAAAATAAGAAGGGAGAGGTTCTATATATTCCAGTATTATACATATGACCGAATAAGATACATTATAATCTTCAATATGCTGTTAATCCGATAGAAAGGAATAAGATCTAATATGGGATTAGGAGTAGCTTGAGGCAGCCCAATACGACTCACGCAATGGTAACTCAAGGGAAAATTCAAAAATTCTAGGAGGGGATGGAGGGGGGAATTAGTAGTATGAGAATTCAATTTAAAAATGTATATATAGTTGTAGGTGTTTTTTTTTTTTTTTTTTTTTTTTTTTTTTTTTTTTTTTTAAACAATAAAACTCAGTATATATTATAAATATAATAGAATGTCTAAGATAATATTATTTACTTGTAAAACAATACTTCATCTCACTTTTGTACTCTTGCATTTTACTTGCTTGTTTTTAAAATGAAAAGAAAACAATACAACAGTCCTTTAAAACCGCTTTCACACTTTACAATTATTGCAGTCTTGACTCTACTTTTGAGGGTTTCCAAAATTGTTAATGCAAGATGCGAAATCCATACCGATAGAAAATATAGCTTCTAATTTTTCCAGTGCAAGATGGTAATCTGATAAAATGTACTGAGAAAAATAAAAATAAAATATCAGTAAAATAAAGAATTTTATAACAGTATTAGCCCTTTAAGTAAAAAAATATATATATTGAATGAGCTATTGATGCTGCTTGTATTTCACCATATATAAATTTTGAAGGACACAATCTGAACTGCCTGATGTTCCGCATATAAAAGTTTTAAGCGATTGAGCACCTCGGTTGAGTCTCTCCAATGTAGGACATAAAGCACAAGTATCCAACTCATTCTTCACATAGCTCGATTCTTGGACCTACAAGACTGCATAATAAAGCAGCTAATTTGTATAACCTTATATGCAGTATGCCATTATTGTAGAATATTGTAAAAGAGCCAAGCCAAGCTGACATGGCTGTTTGTGTCTAGCTTGTGAGACTCTTCACCCAATAGATGTGCTTAAAAAGAAAAGAGGAAGTGGGAAAAGGAAAGGCCTATGATATTATGGAGAGTATGACTGGATAAAGCCCAATGACCACAAGTATTTATGTACCCAACCAGAAGTACATAAAATTCAGGGCCATCTCAGTTATCCACCTGATGGAGAATGAGTTTTGATTGGCACATATGAGTTATACATGTTTCGCCTTTACTTTTGGAGAAAGGGCAAGGATAGATAATGAGGTTTAATTTTTATTTATTTTAATTATTTTTGGTAATGTTTATTTTTAGGGTACTTCACTATTTCAGGGCTTTTCTTGTTTGTTTAATATTTTGCCTAAACTAAGGCTATTATGTAACCAAACAATTCAGTTTTGGAATTGTCGATTATTATTGTGAGTTTGAGATTTCTCTTTGTTCTTCTTCATCCTTTGTTCTTGCTTTCCCTACCCTTCTGTCTGTCTAGTCTATCTATTCATTCTCCTTTCTAATCTCCTTCGTCTATCTCACTCTTCTCTGTCTTTTCATTTGCGCTTTCTTTCAGATCCCACATTGATTGATATCAAAGCATTCTTGTAGTCCTACATTACCACCAAGACTTATGATCACCACAATATTGTTATGTGGACTATATAATACATTTAAAGCTTGCCTAAATCCCCATCCCTACCCTAAGGGTGTGTGCGGAGGCAATAAGATAAGAGCTTTACAATATAATATTGCACCTTTTTACAAGTCAAAAGGAACAAGTTATCAGCCAAATGAAGGAGTGAAGGCTTGTATGATAACATAAGTGCTCTTCAAAGAGACATGGCAGCTATTCAACTGACCAAAATAAGAAGACATTAGGTGGGTGAATATGAAATACTAATCAAATGAAACAACAAAAATATAAGCCAAAACTTGAGGCAGAGACATTCATGCAGATGTGTGGAGTTGATTATAATGGCAACATTTGCTCCTGTAATGAAAATTTGCTTTACATGCATTTCTTTCTTCAATTAGCCATAACAATACTTTGGTGTGGAGAAGTCCATTTTGACATCATATATTGGAGGAAATCCACTGGGTTTAAAATTTACTCAATTTAAGAGAATGTCACAAGTCAATAAAATCATTTGACTTTCAATAATGTCCAAAGAAAGTATAATTAAGGAGATCTACTAGACCTATAGTAAAACAATGCTAAAAGCAAACCTTATACAACATAGGTAGAAATTAAAGATATTCTTTTGTCTAAACATAATCGTCATTCAGAAATTTTCTCCATCACATCTTATTCAAACTTATATAAACTTGATAATTCAAGAAGTTGGCCTAGTTTTTCAAATCCTATCAAAAAATCAACACAATTGAAGACATTTTGATTTACTAAACATCTGTACTAAAGAAAATGCTGTTTTGAAAACTTATTTCTAATTTGAGATAATGCTTTAAGAAGAAACAAGTCCCCACATCCCCTACTTCTTTTCTCTGGTTTTAAATTTAAAGAGCATGTCTTATGGCATTTATCTTTTGGTCCTATGACATGCTAGTGCCCCCACATAGGTAGATTGAGGCACTGCTTCAGCGCAACTATTGTCAGTTTTCATATGTTTTTGCAATTAACCGCTTCCACATTATTCCCAAACGATCTTGCCCTCAAGTTCAAGCAACAGGAGAAGCATCTTTTTAATCGTTTCTTTCCTCGGGTTCATGAAGTTTTAAGCAGCTTGATACAATAAAGAGCTAACCGATCTCTTTCTTACAACCCAAAATTCTCAAAGAAAAATAAAAAATAAGTGTCTTGACATGTACTTCAATCATTATTAATACAGGGTGAATTATATCAATAAAATAGAGTCACCTTCAACTGTCTTCTTCTTAAATATCCCATTAAATATTTTTCACTTAATATATAGATTTAGTGTCCATCTCCTGACATGAAAAGGTATGATTTCTTGAAATTATGCACCTTTCCCTGTCATCCAGTAATGATTTGCAGAAAATTATGTTTTCATGTAATGCTAGTTCACCCAGAATGCTAAGGTAAATGAATTGATTTAGTATGGCATTGTTGTATTAACTGTCATATGCAAGCTGATCTTACCTTTTCATCAACCATGTTCAAGAGAGAGAGAAGATTACAGCTCTTACATCCACAATGAACTGTGATTCCCATACTCGAAAGGAACTGAAACAAAATAATTGACATAAATAGGAGATGTAGCAGTGTCGACAGAATGAAGAATAATTGAAACAATGAACGGACAAGAAAAAAACGTCTCTTCTACTGGCTAACTCTAGCTTACTCTATGCCATAGTATTCTTCAGATGCAACTCAAATCATCAAATTCCCAACAAAACCTAAATTCTGGTAAAGTCGTGTCCAATCATATCTGAACAACAACGGCCACCTCATAAACAAACAAAAAGAAAGGGAAAGAAATATCAACATTTCATTGAGGAAAATAAATGAAATGTAGCTTTTATAAACTGCAAGACTTTAAAGCAGAATAAGAACTTCAAGCCAAAAATAAATAAGTAAATAAAAATACAATGTAAGTTCCATAAATGTTTCCTTGTTTCTCATAGTCAATCCAAGCTCTCGGAAGTCAGAACATGTCAAAAGCTTCATCATATCATGATATACGGAGCCAATTCAGCATGGCTGTGGAAATTTTTAATTCCATGCTGCTTTAAATTTGGGCAACCGCCAAAGCCTTGACTTGAGTGGTATGTCCACCTCCCCAAAGGGGAGGTTGAGGGTTCAAGTCCCAGTGGGGGCATGTGTGTGTACGTAAATAACCCTAATAAAAAAATAAATAATAAATAATAAATAAATAAAAAAAGTGGGCTTGTCTAAAACTTCAGCTCCAGATTAAAGAACCATCATATCTTCTCCTTTACCCAGACATGTGGAGTATTGAGGCTAAGGCTTCCCAAGGGTTGATATTTCCCAAGACCAAATGCTGATTGAATCATTGAAATCTCCAAAAATAAAAAATAAAAAAATAATCCAAATTGAATGTATCATCAATTTATCATTGAACTGTCAAATGGGTTATCTTCTTTTTGCTTAAATAAAGATAATGCTAGCAAAATCATATAATTGACAAAATAACAGAACCTGATGACATGAATTTTTTCACTTTCGGTAGAAAGGGTACCACTAGATAAAGCCAAAAGGACATTCCTTTCCAATTTCAAGCAAGCAACTGTTGGGTGTTTGAAGGATTACAGTACCAGTCATTCAACAATGGCTCCAGGAATAATTATGGAAAAGTTTCGGCCGAATACATAACAAGTGTCCAATATGTAGGTCGTAACGATCCAACAGTACTCATTGAGGGCATTTTTCACAAGTGTTGATCTATGTGAAAGCAAGATGATGAAGAGAAAACTGGAGAGAGAGAGGGGGGAATATATGCCAATTGTAAACCTAAATTGAATTATATTTGCAGATATAGAATTGATGAATGCCAATTGTTTTAGTCATATGCTTGCAGAATAATTTCTCTTAGAAACTTCAACTAGAAGTTCGAATTCAATTAAAGCAACAGCTAGAACTGAAGTATTATACAAAGATTATTGAATGATGATAATAACTATTTGGTCAAATTTTAAAAGAAATCAAATAAATTACCAATACCTGTAAATGAAGATCAGCATTACTTTGGGGGAAAATCAGCATTGATTAGGAAAACGTTGAACCTTGAAGAAGGCATTTGACAGCAAATAAAGGGAGAGCACGAAGAGAGTGACCGTGATGGCCCTTTTTTTTGGTTCCTTCTTCTCTCTTTTCCACATTTTCTTTTATTTGTTTGTTTTATAGTAAAAAAAAATAATAAAAAAGAAAAAGAAAAATGCAATGTAAATTTGTTTTATTTTTAACTTTACAGTCTTTACCCCATAATTATTTTTAAATTTTTATCAATTTTATATTATTTTATAACTTTTATTGATTGTGTTGAGTCTTTTAGAACTACCCATAATCCAGGCTATAGCACTAACACATGTAAATTCCAAATCTGCATGCACGAACCCAAAAAAAATCTCTTAAACCCCCCCTTCCCCCCAAAAAAACAAAAAAATTTATCAAAATTTAAAAACGAGAATATATTATAATTTAGCAGTACTTTCAGACTTATTTACTAAAAAAAGGCGTATTTGCAAACCCATTTAAAAACACGTGCAAGGCGAGGAGTGCTTTGGATTCAACTCTGTTTAGGGTTAAAATTGTTGCTCAAATTTAGCTAGTTTGCTTAATTCACAACTGAAACCAAAATTGTACCAAATGGAACTTGAGTTGTCAAATAATTAGCTTTATTGCAATTCCGGTCCAAATTTATTGTTAAAATGATGCATGACCTCATTACTCAGGTCTAACTCAAGTGGGTTAAGCTGTAAACGCGACTCATTCGACGAGTTCTATTCAAATTTAATTTTCTAAATTCTAGTTAAGTTCGAATTATTGTAAGATTAATTGATGGAGAAAACTATTATTTTAGCAGCAATACCTTACAAATCGTGCAAAGAATTTGATTCTGGCTCATCCCCGTTACGTAGTTTCATATATTTTATGTAGATTTATTTGAATTGATTGTTGATGTTAGTATGTGGAGTGATTAATTTTAATTAATCACAATAAATGTGAAAAAATTAAAAATTAAAAAGATTAAAATCCAAGGGCGAATCATAAATTGTCAATGGGGACTAGTATTGAACATAAATTTAATAACACTATTTTATAAGCAAATTTTTTTTGAATGAATTAAAAGGGGGGACTAATACTACTATTAAAATCTTTTTTTAAAAAAAATTGAGCTGAATTTTCCATACTAAAAATATATATATTTTTTTGGTTGGGGGGGCCCAAGCCCCCCTCTATGTCCGCCACTGTTAAAATCACAATAGTTGCGATGATAGGTTAAAATTTAGGGTAAATTACACTGACACTTCCTGAGGTTAGGTCATATTTCAGCCAGATGAAGATTTTGGTTTTAACTTTCACTTACACCCCAATCATGTGAATTGACCATTTTACCCTCAATTTTTTAATACAAAATATATAATCTGAAATGACAAAAGAGCCCCTATCCTTACCCCCACACCACCGCCACCATCTTTGGCTCCATCTATGAACCAATTCGTATACAGCTCCTTCAATTTCACCTATATCCACCACCACCTATCCCAAACCACAGCCACCATCACCATCCTGACATCCACCACCACATATCTCAAACCACTACCACCATCCCCACCTCCATCCTCACAACCACCACCATTAACTCATCGGCGAATCGATCTGCGACATAACCCATCCCCAAAACCCATCTTAATCAATCTGCAGCTTTTCTTTCTGGCTGCACCTTCCACTATCCCCAAAACCCATCCTCATCGGTGAATCGATTGACGACGTCCACAAATCGTGACCACGGATTCAATGGTGTCCACAAAGACCAAGCGGGCAGCAGAGTCGTCAATATCCTCGCCGTCAATGCTAGCATCCTCTCCGACTCCAGCGCCCATTAACGTGAAGATCAGCGATCAACCAAACCGGAAAGCACCCCTGTTGTTGGTGATGGTAATCTGACGTGCCGCGTGGGTGAACGCGCTAAAATCGTGACGTCCATCACTGCAATTCCGACGGCGACAGTGGCAGCAATTCGGGTGGCGACAATGCTATCAATTCGGTAGCCTCGGGTGCAAATTTTTCTTGGTTGGGTGGGCTAAATATCCTCCCATCGCTGACTTCCCTTTTAGTTGTGAACAAATATCGAACTGGTTGGTCGAGATTAAGCGATTGGGAGTTGGGATCCGAGAGCGAAGCCCCTCTCCCCCGCCGGAAGTTTTTTTTTTTTTTTATCCTGAAAGGCTTGTTGTTGGGAAATCTATGAGGATTTCTAGTTTTCTCATCTATCTGAGGAAAAAAGTAAAAAATGAATCTCCTACAAATCAAAACCTAGGACGAGAAAGATAGCCAGAGCACAGAGCCTATGTGAAAAGGAAGTCTGCTTGGATATGGAAGGAGAAAAAAAAAGGTAGAGAGAGAGAGAGAAGGAGAGAGGGGAAGGTTTATGACAGAGGCGGGTGGGCAGTGGTGATTATGATGGGCAGTTTGGTCATAAAAATAGTCAATATGAGGTCAAAGGTTAGTATAGTCATTTAACACCTCAAAACTATTCTGATTCAATCAAAAATTGACATTTGGGGTGTAAGTGAAATGTTAAACTACTCATGTGAAATCTAAAACCAAAATGTTAATGTAGGTGTAATATGACCTAACCACAGGAGGTGTGAGTGTAATTTACTCTAAAATTTAATTACTCACATTCTAACTATCATTGAAGCCCCGTGTCCAGCCACGCCCTAATTACCCTATTATTCGTGCATTTTAGGGATTTAAATTTTTTTCAATAATTTCTACCTTAGCGTATCTGTAAATTATCATTAAATGATTATAAACATTTAATGTCATCTTGCACACAATCAAAATTAATTTAAAAAAAAAAAAAAAATAGAAAAGGGAAATGTTCATGTGACCTAATGATACTTTGGAGACCCCAAAATTCATGGAACGTTGTGCTGCATTTGGTCAGTATAAATAGAATTTTTTATTCTAATAATTTTTTTGTTTGATATGCAATTTAAAATGGGAATGACCATTTCATTATAATGAAAATTAATTTCTGAAAATGAAAATCTATTCCACAACTAAACTTATGAAATGACCATTCTATTCTCAAATAATTTTTTTTAACAAATTAATTTTCAAAAAAACTCTCATGTTCCAAGTCCAAAAATCACCATCATCTTCCATCGCAACCACCTCTACCTTTCACCACCACCACCTCTACTTTTCACCACCACTACTACCGCCGCCTTCCACCACCGCCACCGACTTTCATCACCACCCATCGCTTTCCGCTACCACCACCGCCTTTCATCACTGACATCGCCTTCCTTTGCCCCAATCATCATCGCCGCCACCGCTATTGCCATTATCGCTACCGCCGCCACCACTACGCCTTCCACTGTGACTGCCATTACCTTTCACCACCTTCCACCACTATTGACGCCACCACGTTTCACCATCTTACACCGCCGCCGCCATTGTTTCCACCACCTTCCATCACCATTGCTACCATCGTCCATTACCTTCAACCACACAATAGTCACCTCCATTAGCTTCCACCATCGCCACTTACACCATTATCTCTTTCCACCACCGCCAACATCCTTGCCACGACTTTCCACCCTTGCTGCCTTTCACCAACACCGCCGCCTTCCACCATCCACCACCGCTGCCTTCCAACACCACCATCCACCACCGCCACTATCACCATTTATTTTTAAAAAATTATAGAATAATGTTATTTTGTTAATTTAATTTATTTTTTTTACTAACAAAGATATTTTTGATAACTTAATTTGAAATTTATTTCATTTTTAAATTTAAAATTGATCCAACCAAACACCAAATGGTTATTATCATTCTAATCTTGCAAATTTCATATTTACAACCAAACAATAGAATGAGCATGATCATTTCATTCTCACTTATATTCCATTTCTACACACCAAACGCACCATAGAGAAATGAAAATGATATTCAAACATACTTGTTAAGTTTATTTGTCAAAGTGGCACAATTAAAGGCATTGATAATTTGAAGCGAAGTCTGAAATGAGAATCCATTTTATGTCTTCAATAGTCAATTTATGTCTTCAATAGTCTTAATTGTTTTATTTTGATAAATAAGTCTAATTAGTGGGCCTGAATAATAATATCATGACTCTTTTAAGAAAATTGCATATGCTCGAAGTACACGATTCCACATCCAATGGAATTTGTTTCTTGCAATGAATAATAAAAAATAAAAAAATAACTTCCCAATCAATCATAAACAGCTTTTATTTATTTATTTTGAACGTTGGTCATTGAAAATGTATTTGACCACATAATCATTTCTTAACATTTGCTGATGTAAAATTTGAAAAAAAATTATATGGTTTGAGACTGTGAGTCTATGAGGCCAACTCTTGTCAATAGTTAAGTACTCTATTCGTGTCTCAAGTTAAATGGTTAATTTTTTTATTTATTTTTGACTATCTCAAAATAAATATTTTATTTTAAAAATATTTTTTTATAATATTACAAATTTAACTTTCTTTATTTATAAAAAATAAATTATCACAATATCAGATCATATGAATCCATTATAAACAAATAAATATTTAATAATTTATTCAATATCAATACAATTAAAAAAATTTAAAATCCAAGATTTAAATTCCCACATTTAATTTGAGATGGGAGTAAAAATTTCTCAATGAACATGGCACTTTTATACTTTTTTATTATTATTATTTACGTGTCTAATTGTCATTTGTTGGGACCACGTAATCTCAACTTCACATGGGTATGGTCAGCGGTCAGCCGTGACAGTGATTATAAAGTCACTTTTACTATTCTTCAATTTCACAAGAATCAAAACTTCGTTTTCTCTCTCTTCCCATCGCGGGCCACTATCTCCTCGATTCTCTCTCCACCATTCGCCTCTTTCTTTCTCCTGAGAGAGACAGAGAGGCGGACACCCCCAAAATATCAGCCACACACCCCAAAAAGCTCACAAGGTAATATATATACGACCCCACATATATATATATATATATGTATATATATTCAAATTCTTCTTAGCATTCTCTTATCGATCTTTATAGTCTTTATAGAGTCTTCTATCCATCATTACAAAGGTAAATTAATGGTTTGTCAATGGATTTCTTCTCTCATTTTATTGTATTGTTTTAGCCATCAACATTGGCAATTTATGTATTTATATATATTTATAATATTTTGTTGCTGACTTTATTATGATCCAAGTTTTGCCGTTTTGGTTCTAAAGTTCTTGAAGCAATCTATTCATTTCAGTTTGTTGTTGTATGAGAATTCAACGCTTCAGTTACAACTATGAGTATGTAATTGTTGTAGCATGTTTTTGGCTGTTCTGTTTTGTGATGTTTTGTGATTTTAGTGTTTGATAGACTGGTTTATCTGATTGTTGAGGCGAACTGATTGATCGTATTGTAATTTTTTGATTGGTTGGTAAAATCTTGTTCTGCTATGTTGATTTAGTAGGGTTGCAAGTGAACTGAGGACTCTGTTCGAGCTCGTTCGTTAAACAAATTAGTCGAGCTCGAGCTTAATTTTTAAGCTTAAGCTTGCTTAACATATGAGACAATGCCGTACAGCATTGGGCTTGGCTCGTGGTATAGGCTCTTGAGTTTTGTTCATGAGCATACATTCGATTAGTGTAGACTTGATTTTTTATAAAAATCTATAAGCATGCTCATAGTTATTTATGTATTTTTTGAAAGCTTATCTTGTGAGTTTATGTTATATATTTAGTGCAAGTTTCATGGAAGGGGATTAAGTAAACTAATCAGAAATGTTCATTGATAACTTCATGAACATGATCTTAAACATAGCCTGAACACAAACATGAGATTAAGCTTGATTTGTTTTATTAAAGGAGTCTAGCCTGAGTTTTTCAAAATTGTGAGGACCTTAGCTAGAGCTCAGCTTTTGAGTTCGTTAAGATCCCGAGTTGAGCTTCACTGTCTAATGTTCAGCTCCGCTTGGTTTACTTGCAGTCCTATTTGCTAGTATTGTTTGTTTCAAAACATGTCAGTCCTGAAGGTGACTGTTGTAATTCGTTCCTCTTTTTATTTATCTCATTTTCATCACTTTATGTTTTGTTTTTTGGTTCTCTCTCTATATATTTTAGTCTAATGAAGGGTAAGGATTATGGCGTATATTATGCTGGATTATGTATTACTTATTTAATTTTATTTTTTTCCGATGGGTATATTATTTGTTGCCATTATGTGTGGTATTAGGATGATGTGGTCATGCTATTTTTTCTGATAGGTGCAAGTTCATTGCTATGGTGTGAGCTGCTTCTCTTAGATATGACAGACTAATAATACTAACTGATTATTGGCTGTGATTTGTATTTCAGTCATGTGTGGATTGATTAGTCCATGAACAAAAAATTTTAGTTTTAGTTCCCTTTTGCTTGGTTACAAGTCATTTATTCTATTTTTAGAATGTTCTGTCACTATTTTGTTTTTCCAGCCTTTTCCTATTCTCTTTTGAAAACAGATTGTTAAGGTTTGTCCATATGTGCAAATAAAAGGAACAACTTGAAGGGGGAAATCATCTATTTGTATTTTGTTATAACAGAATTTTGATTCATTTATAATATTTGCTTTTCAATAATAAAAAAAAATAGTAAATATTAACATCCTAATCCTAAGACTGATGGAGCGAATGTTATATGTTTGCTAAAACAGTAACACATTATGATTGCACATTTGAAAGAATAAATCTGTGGTTCCCAATATGTTTTTTTCCCATCCATACTCTCTGCTTATTGGACTGGTGACTGGTTTAAATCAGAATTCAGCATGTTTTAGCTGTATAATTAAATTACTTTCTATTTGGTTGCTTTGAATCCTGGCCGGGGCCGGTGGTGTAAATTCGATGGATTGTGATTTTTACATGATTTCCGACTCAGTGTTTCAACACTGTTTCAGTTACAACTTTGTCAGCTTCTTAAAAACCAGGATTGGTTACTGCTTACTGGCATGAAATGGATAAACTGAAGTCTTCATGTGAACTGTCTGAGTGACTTTTTAGCAGAAAAAAAAGGCTGGGGTTGAACGACTTAGGTTTAAATTTTGTCGTGTGCAAGGTGGGGGTGGAGAAGGAGAGGTCAAAGTAAAACCTGAACTAATATATTTTTGTGTCACTTTCTTTAATGGAAACAGAGTAATCTCTGCCCTACAAGCTCGGATTTATCAACCGTTGGAGATCTATAGTTTTTTACATGCTTGAATGTTTTTATATGCTTAACTAAATGTTCCATTTATAGTTTTTGCCGTTACTTTTCATGTATCAAACTCATAATGTGTGGCTTCTGAAATGTGTATTACTATGAGAACTTAATTTGACAGTAGTTGTTAATCTGTGTAGAGAAAGGCACGATGATTGATCAGCCTCGAAACCCAACTGTTGCTCAGAAGGTAGCTGGCAAGCTTCTTCTCAGATCTAGCCTAACTCAAGATCTTTGGGCTTATGATGGTGGTTTCCAATGCCCTGCCATGTCCCAAAGGCAATTTAAATATGGGAACTACACCAATGCTGCATTGCAGTATCCCATGTTGCAGCCTTGTAAAGCGACTCGTGATCTATCCATGGTTGCATCATCAACTTCTCCTATTTTTGTCCAAGCCCCAGCAGAGAAAGGCTTCACAGGCTTTGCCATAGATTTCCTTATGGGAGGAGTGTCTGCAGCTGTATCCAAAACAGCTGCTGCTCCAATTGAGCGTGTGAAGCTTTTGATTCAGAATCAGGATGAGATGATTAAAACTGGTAGGCTCTCTGAACCATACAAGGGCATTGGTGATTGTTTCAGCCGAACAATTAAGGATGAAGGGTTTGGTTCATTGTGGAGAGGGAACACCGCTAATGTCATTCGCTACTTCCCAACTCAGGCTAGTCACTTCTTGCCCTTTCCCTTTTTCCTCTTTTCTCATAAAATTATTCTTTTACCTATGCTATATGCTTATTGGTTTTGGGAATTTGCACCAGGCCTTAAATTTTGCCTTCAAGGATTATTTCAAGAGGCTTTTCAATTTCAAGAAAGACAGGGATGGTTACTGGAAATGGTTTGCTGGGAACCTGGCATCTGGAGGTGCAGCTGGTGCCTCTTCTCTTCTCTTCGTCTACTCTCTGGACTATGCTCGGACCCGTTTGGCAAATGATGCAAAGGCTGCAAAGAAGGGAGGAGAGAGGCAATTTAATGGCTTGATTGATGTCTACAGGAAGACACTAGCTTCTGATGGTGTTGCAGGGCTTTACCGTGGATTCAATATTTCATGTGTTGGTATCATTGTTTATCGTGGTCTCTACTTCGGAATGTACGATTCTCTGAAGCCTGTGATCCTTACTGATAAGTTACAGGTCAGTAACTTGTGCTTGCTTCCTTGATTGTTTTGTGATGATAGGATAAGAAGATGAGGTTGAGATCACTACATTTTTTGTTTTGGCATGATAGATGCTTCTAGTTTTTAGACTTCTGTATTCAGTTAAAAGGTTGATGTTTCCTTCTGGATCAAATTTTCATTGCTTTGTATTGTTGTATAATTGCAATTAATTTTGTCTATGGTGGAAATAGGGTGGTGGTATTTTTTCATAGCAATTCTAGTACGAGGGCTTTTACTGGGAAGGAAAAAAAAAAAAGGTCAAATCACGGGGGCATGCATTATATTTGAGCTTGAGCCCTCATGGCTGTTGGATGGAGAAGATGTGAAATCAGCCTCTTGATCCTTTTTCTATTGTTCACATTTTCCATAATTACAGATGACAGTTTTTCTTCTGTGTTGACGTGTTTTGTGTTGTTAATTGGAAGAACCAATATGAACATTATCATTTTGAACCAGTATGAAGCAGAAGATTATTGTTCTGCATATTTTTGAACTTGTTGCACATGGAATCAGTTTGTTGTTGATTTCTGATATTACCTTTGTTTTCTGTTTTGGGTGGTTTCAGGATAGTTTCTTTGCTAGCTTTGCACTTGGTTGGGTGATCACAAATGGTGCTGGCCTTGCATCATACCCAATTGACACTGTTCGCAGAAGAATGATGATGACCTCCGGTGAAGCTGTCAAATACAAGAGCTCGCTGGATGCTTTCTCGCAGATCCTGAAGAACGAGGGTGCCAAGTCTCTCTTCAAGGGTGCTGGTGCAAACATTCTTCGTGCTATTGCTGGCGCTGGTGTTCTTGCTGGTTACGATAAGCTGCAGATGATTGTCTTGGGAAAGAAGTACGGATCTGGTGGTGCCTAAATAAGGGGGAGTACTATTTATTCCTTCTCTCTTTAGCATTAGATGGTGATGAACAAAAAAGACTTGGAGTCGTGAGAAGAATTCAACCGGCAAATTTTTTATTTATCGAATAATTCATTTATAGAGGAAGTCACTCCCGAGCCCATTGTGAATGGTGTTTTGTTTCTTATAAACCTGTTTTGTTAAATCAGCATACAAATGCTGTTTCTTGAGTTCCATTCAAATGTTTTGGTCAGGCGTTAATTACCTGTATTTCTTTATTTTTGTTTTATGAGGAATATGATATATGAATCTATTATTTGTCCCTTTTTTTCTCATATGATCAAAGTTGTTGAACTCCACAACACAATTGGTTCATATACATTATATTTGTTCGAGGCATTAAGTGAGAAATTAATATGCTTTTTGCGTTCAAAACACACTGCAAAATGGAGCCAGTTTAAGACTAACGTTTCTTCTTTCATTAACTACGAAATAGTATATGTATTAGGTACAAATTACACACTAGTAGACCGCCGCATTTAAATTCAACCATAGTCGTAAGGTTTTTTTTTTTTTCCAAAAATTTGTTAACCAAATGTTATAAAACTACAATTTTGACATTCTCTTATATAAAATTTTTTGTCATTTCCCAGTTTGAAAATGAGGGGCATTATTGACTTTTTAATACATTTTGCCATTTTGGTCTTCAACAAATGGAATTGGGAAAGATAAAAGGTAATAAAGGATGAATTTGTGTGTAATTTGTCTTGTCAATTACCCTACTGCTAAATTTTACTGAGAGTGACATCTTGTATCTTCACTTCTCAGATCCAGATGAATGAATATTCAGCCGGGCCTAAAAGGCTAAAACATAAATAGAATAATTTAATAATAAAGTAAGAAAGCTCCAACGGTCGAAAAATAGCTTCCCTTTCTTCCATAACGGTTCACTGTCTCAGTTCCCCGCTAACGTTACACTTCACTTCTCTTTCTCTCTCTCTCTCTCTCTGTCTATCTGTGCAATATCTTCCGAATTCTGTGTCTTAGGGTTTCTCAGTATTTGCATCTCTCTCTCTCAATATCTTCCGAACTTTGTGTCTTAGGGTTTTACACTATTTGCGAGCTGATAATTGTTAGGTGTTAAAGAACAATTCACCCAATTCGCTGCTCTCTCTCTCTCTCTCTCTCATCGGTCGCTCTGTGGAATGGAGCCAGCCAAAATCGATTGGAAAGCTATTAACTCGGTATTTGTCGAAGACGAGCTCTTTGAGCACATAAATGCCCCTCAATGGATCGATTTGTCTGCTCCTCAAGACTCTATTGATGATGAATCTTGGTTCTGCAGACCTGGTAATATAAATATATATATATATGTACTTATATGTATATATACGGCACAATTTAGCTGCCAATTCTTGTTTCTAATCTTGCATTCCTCTTGCAGATTGCAATCATCCCAAGACAGTTGAAGATTTCCTGAAAGAAACTTCTAATTCAAAGGTTCCAATCTCAAAATTTTCGATCTCGTTTGAAGTTCTTGCGTTTGGTTTCCTAGAAAGCTTAGGAAAACAATACAATTTCACGTTCACAGTCGTTTTTTCAATATCTTGACCTGAACTGAGGCCGTCACGACTTTTTCTTGAACTTTCTCAGCTACCTGACAGAGGATTAATTCTTCTACAATTGTCTGATTTTCGATTTTTTTTTTCTTGTACTTTCTGTTTTGTGAAGATTCGAGGATCAGCTAGGGTTTCTGAGATCCTTCCATTGGGTGATTGGAGTCGGAGGTACTAATAAAAATCCTAGCTTTTGATATTAAATTCATTCACTTTTGTATATCTAAGCTTATAAATTTCATATTTTCATTCAGAGATGGTACTTTGAAAAGAAGAGGGCTCGTTCAACCTTTAGTTTCGTCAGACAAAGACTCAAATTGTGATAGATTAGTCGAAAATAGCGAAAATCAAAACCCTAATTTTTCTACTCCCAGTAAACAGTACAACTCCATGAAAGCAGCAATCAAGTCAAGCACAGAGAAGAAACAGATCGATAATTCCTTGCAGAAGGAAGATACACCGCTGCTGAAAAGCACGCTATCAGCTCGGAATCTGTTTGCAGGACGAGATATACTGAATCAGATAACGGATTTTTGCAATGAATTGAAGAGATTGGCGACGAGGGCGAAAGAGAGAGAGAATGTGGAGAGATCAAACACAAAGAAGAGTCCGGTGGTTGAATGTCCTGACGATGATGATAGGGGGGATTCGGATGAGAGAGAGAAAGAAAGGAAGCCACTGCTTGAGGTAAGAAAGGAGAAATGTGACACAACGGAGAAGAGCCATGTCAAGGCGAAGCTAAACAGGAAAAAGTAAGTTATTTGTATATACATAAAATAGAAGAATGCCTATCTACACAAGCATACAAACATATCAAAGTTGTCCTTTTTTATGATAGATATGTATATTTGTTTGTGTATATGTATATATCCATTGGGTGTCAAGGAGAAGTAAAGCAGGAAAAAGTAAGTTATGCGCATAGACATAAAGTAGATGAATGCAATCCACACAAGCACAAAAACATATCAAAGCTGTCCTTTCATTGGGAGATCAGTTTTTGATAAATAAAAGAGCCAGTGAGGTTGCTGCTGTTCAGATGATCATATTCTTTATTACACTCAGAGAAGTATGATGAATAAGGCAGTGCAAATTCATGGATAGCTTTGATCAATATCCATTGGGGGATCAATTATTTTTTATTTCATCAAATTTAGTTTTAGTGTTTTGCTGCTTGATCTAGCTCAATTTGCTTGGTGATTCTAACTTGGAAAACCTCCACACCAAATAATTATTGCTTAATTATTTGAGACACCAAATAATTATTGCTTAATTATTTGAATCATTAACAGAATCCCGTTAAGTGGATTGTTGCATGGTGGTCCTAATTAGAGCCATTGACTACATATTGTTTTCGCACGTTATATGCCATGATATCGGTTTGCTTGATCTAGCTCCATTTGCATGGTGATCTCACTTGGCAAACCTCCATACCATATAATTAAGCAAATTTAAATTATTAGAATCATTAACAGAATAAAGTTAAGTGGTTTGTTGCATGGTGGGTCCTAATTAGATCCATTGACTGCATATTGTTTTTGTACGTTATATGATGATAGTTTGTTTTTCCTACACTAGAAACCAAAAAAAGAAAAGAAAGAAAATTGCACGAGTGACTGAATTTGGTAATGCTTTTATGCAGGAGAACTGATCAGGAGGCAGAGAATATTCCAATCTCTGTGGATCTGAAGAATGTGAAGCGCAAGGAAGAGGAAATCTTGTCACAAATCCGAACCCTTCCTCCCTCACCACAATGTTTTTCAGCTGGCCGCGGGCCCACCAAAGCCACCCCTCTCAAAGCTTCTCGATCTAGGCCGCCTCTGGTATGGCACTAACCTCCTGCTTCTTTCTCTTATCTATTTCCTTGTTGATTAGGGCAAGTTATGACAGAAGAGAAAAGACTAAACAATTGATAGGTAGAAAGGTAACAGAACAAGAGATGTTCTTTCAACCCCCTTTTTCCCCATCTTTCAAAGGATGATAGAACCTCATTTTTCCCCATCTTTCAAAGGATGATAGGATATCAACATTAGTCTATTTATTGTAATAGAAGCTCATGTTTTATTTGATTATCTCATTGAAACATTTTCAGTCTACTAGTTGAGAGATAAATGTTCTTTACCCAATAATGTCATTTTCTATGAATATTTTTCCTAAAATCTGGATGGAGGTTATTTTTCCGCAGCAAAGGAAATGCATCACCTTTAATTTTCTTTTCCTGGATCCATTGCAAGATAGAGTCTCTAGGGGCATAAAGTTCTGCAACTTTTAGAAAGAAATAAAATCATTAGATGGTTTTCTGTGTGTCCAAAAAGACAACTTGTGTTTATGAAAGAAAATCTTGATAGCCGGAATTTGGTTCACTTCATTATTCCGTATTTTCTTTCCTGCTTTCACACCTATTAGCTTGTGCTTTACGTACAAGCTCTCTAGATCATTGCATTTTTCTCTATGCTTTTATCGTTTCAATTTCTTTCCAAAGCCAAACGAGGAAAGTAAGGAACTTCTGATTTTAACTCTTCTCTTTCTATTGAACCAAACTGCATCTTATTTGTATAATCCTAATACCTATCCTGTAGAATTGAGGTCCTTTTATACAAGTTATTATCTTCGTCACCTCCTAATAAATGGTTAATATTAGTGAAGTCCATTTTTCTCCAAATATTTTCTTGATGATGATGACCTTCTAACTTTTCTGTTGAACTTAATCCAACCAAACCAATTATCCAAGTTTGGGTTAGAGAAAATTTATGGCTGTGCTTGGGTTGATAATCCCAACCTAACATAGGAGAGGAGGGAACCTTGGAGACTTGGGGGAGACAATAAAAACCCCGAGGGCCGACTCCCGACTTTGAGACGGAGTGGACTGTGGTTTACACAGTTGGTAGTTGGGCCGCTATTGCATTAGAGATATACGAGTATTTTAATTTACTGATTGATTTTTATATAATCAAATGATGGACCATTTAGGAGAGGGGAATCCTTCAAGAGCTGGGGCAGAGCAATAAGGAAGTGCGAAATGATGAACCTGCTGCGGACAAAGGAAATCACAGAGGAACAAGGGCTTCTAATGCTGCTGAAAGAGAAGCAAGAACCTTAGATGTTTTTTGGTTCCTGAAGCCATGCACAATTTCTAACTAAGATAACTGCACAGTAAGAATCAAGTTCAAAATTATTCATTCATTCTTTCCATTTTTACACTTGAAGTTCCACCATTTAGTAGTTTACATCAATAATACCTTATTTGTTGTTATATATCTTTCAGTTTTTGTTATTTCTTAATTCATTTGGTCTTGAGGATAAAAAATGTAACAGGGAACTCAGTTATTGTTGTACTCAAAACCAACTTTACTGAATAAGATGCGCGATGCGCTTTTACCTCTCTTTTTTCTATTTAGTCACGTTAGTCATATTTGTAAAAGTTATCCTTCTCATTTTGATGTTATATATATCTTTCAGTTTGTGTTATTTCTTAATTCATTTGGTCTTGAGGAGAAAATTTGTAATAGGGAACTCCGTTATTGTTGTACTCAAAACCAACTTTACTGAATAAGATGCGCAATGCGCTTTTTACCTTGTAAAAGTTATCCTTCTCATTTTGATGTTATATATATCTTTCAGTTTGTGTTATTTCTTAATTCATTTGGTCTTGAGGAGAAAATTTGTAATTGGGAACTCAGTTATTGTTGTACTCAAATGTGTTTCTTATGTGGAATTTAAATTCTTTTATTTTTAAACCTAATTTTCTTTGGAAGCAAATCAGTTGAACTCCAGAAATTTTGCAGGCATTTACTTGTGAGTCTTACATGAATGCAAAATATGTTATTCATGTTTGAAAGAGAGTTGGTTGTAACTTAAAAGGATCTTATGGTTACATAAATGCAAAATAAGTTCATCATGGACACATCAGGGAGTTGGAACTCTCTAGGTTTCAAGCTTTTTCTGCACCATGTCACTGCTGTTTGTTCATGGTGTTTGAAAGAGATTTGGCTGTAACTTTAAAGGATCTTATGGTTGAAAGTTCATCATGGATACATCAGGGAGTTGAACTCTTTAGGTTTCAAGCTTTTTCTGCACCATGTCACAGCTGTTTTGTTCATGGTCGGGGTCATATATATAAGCATGACTAAGAAAGTTGTTCTCAGACAGTGAGAGACCTGATGCAGATGTTTGGATGTGAGAAGATAAGTTTTGCCTTTGCTTTGATGGTTTAGGGGGAACTTTATTATTTCCATTTTTAGGACAAAAAATGAAGTGCAAGAGTTTTCTATTGAAGCATAATAACACTTCCGTGTAATTATAACTCATCATGTTTGTATAATAGCAGTTGAAATATAAACCATCATGCTTGTATAATAGCAGTTCATGGCCGGCGAGCTTAGCGCAACAGTAAAGTTGCTCCATTATGACTTTGAGATGACGGGTTTAAAATCGAAAATAACTTTATCATGCAGAGGTAAGACTGCGTACATTTAATCCTCCATAAACCCCATAATGGTAAAAGTCTCAAGCTAGTCTTTTTTATGTTTCTATAATAGATGTCAACAAACTTGTATGAAAACTACACTTCAAATTCCCCTTAAGTGGGGTGAGACGCATCTGATGGTAAAAAAACCTAAATGCAACTTTAATTCATTAAATCATATCATCCTCAAACAATTGGATTAAACTTAATTTTGAAGGTTCATTAAAATTCAGCAAAGGAGGGCTTAGATGCATTGAGATTATTTAGGCATAATATGAAGGGCTAAAAGGCCTAAAATCAGCAACTCAGAGAGAAACATGGGTAAAGGGGGCTTGAGTCACCGGCTTTAAGGAATATTCGTGGAGGTTCAAATAATGTCATTGAAGAGACTACTGAGACTGGTCATTCATTCAAGAGCAAAAATTTTGATTTTATGACTGAAGAACGTGTACTTGGCAAAACAAAGAAAGTGACATTTCTAATTATTGAACAAGGCCAAAATACAAAGAAATTAAGTTGGAAGAGAGATTAGGGTGCATTGAGACCTATAAAAATATATTTAAAAATTCTTCTAACCATTAAGAAGACGAATAAATACACCGATAAAAAGAGAATAATTTAAAAATGAAATATTATGCCGTGTATGTGATTAAAGCAAAGACGACTTAAAAAAAATAAAAAATGATTAATACATAGAACAATTTTAGGACAAATATTTTTGATATTGTTCATGGAACTCATTAATCATGTTTGAAAAAAAAAAAAAAAAAAAAAACACTCATTAATCATATGAGTGCCATTATTAGGGATTCCAACGGAGCGATTTTGGGCTAGTATATCCTTCCACCGTGCAGTCGTTTAAAAGTGGGGAAGTCTATAGAGTAGGAAATATAAATAAAAAAATAAAAAAAATAACAAACAAGGATTTGATTTGGCCAATAGAATTCTGCTACGTGTCACGATATACACTGGTCTCCGGTAGTACAGGCGTAAACTAGCGAAGCCCTGAAATTTGCTGCTCTTTTGTCGAGCTCTAATTTCATTCACCATTTGAAGGTAAAACAGTGAGTCTCTCTCTCTAAATAGAAAATTAGGGTTTCAAAATGGCAATGGCTGGGCGAATCAGATCAAGCGGCCCTCTCTTCCAGAGGATTCTGAGGTCCGGTTCTCTCTCTGCACAGAGATCAACTGTTCAACGATCCCTTCTGTGCCCTAGTTTCACAAATTCGGAGGTATAGATATGAGATAATCGTTAGTTTCATCTGTATTCTGATTCTTATTTGTTTCTGATCTATGTTTAGATTTGAGATTCATTCATAATTTGTTGTGTTTGAGCTGAATGAAGTTGATTTACTTGAAATGCTCGCTCTCTCTATATGTATATACACACAAATATAAACGAGGGGATCTTTTTGCCGATGAGAAAACTTTGAATTACAAGTGAGCGGATGAAACTAAAGAGTCAAATCAACTTAGGTGATGCAAAACCGAAACACACAAAAACCTCAATCTTAAAAAAAATAATGTTTATCACTTGTAAATGAAAAAAAAAAATCTATTTATCGTTTTTCATTTTCCCTTTGTTTTCTCAGCAACCAAACGAGGGTTGAGGGGTTTTCCGGACACAATTCGATTTCTGTGTGTTTCTGGTATTTCATTTCATGGTCACAGAATTAACCTTGTTCCCCATTTTTCAATTTTTCCCCTTTCAAGAGAGTGTTATAATGTTTTTATCATTTCATTCGTAGTTATGTGGTTCATTCTTTAATTATGTGGACTCTGTTCAATTGTTATTTATTTATTATTTTTTTGTTGTTGCAGTCGTCCAGGAACTATGCTACTTCGGCGCCAGCAAAGGAGCAAAAAGTTAAGGTAACCTTTTTCTTTCTGAGTTTTGACAAGTTATGTTATGCATTTCACTATTATCTTGAGAAAGTTAAGGACCAATTTTTGTAATTTGCTCTTAAAATTTTTATGGTTTACATTCCCACAGATTGGTTAGCATTTTTCTTTATTAAGTTAAGAAAGCTACTGACACTGGTTATTACAATATTGTGTTGGATGATAATGATTTGTCAGGATCTATGTGAGTTTTTTTTTTTTTTTTTAATGTTATTCTTGCTTTGTGATTCTTTATGACATTTCAGCTGCCTTTGGCTTTGTTTGGGGGTACTGGAAATTATGCCTCTGCTTTGTACGTCGCAGCAGTAAAGGCTAATGCATTGGACATGGTTGAGTCTGAGCTTCTTGACTTTGTTGAGGCTACAAAGAGAAGTGCCTTATATTCTGAGTTCGTGAAGGACTTGTCAATGCCTGTGGCAAGAAGACTTAAGGCAATAAATGCAGTTAGTGGTGAAGCTAAATTTTCAAAGTTGACAAAGAACTTCTTGGGTACGATGAACTTGTATTGATAGTTAAATCTGATATATGGACATCTTTTTTTCTTTATTAAAAATGAACTTAAAACAATTATTTCTGCCATCACATATAAACAAAATGTAGATCATTAGATTGCCATTTCATTATGATGTCAGAATATTTTTGACTAAATGTCCTAAAGTTGCATTGTTAAAGGTGTTTATAGAATTTTTAGGTACTTCAATCATGTGCACCTTGGATATGTTTTTTAAGTTGTTCTTATTTGCTATTCTTTTAGGTAGGTACCGTGTATCTGTTAACCGTGGTTTATCGAATTAGATTTTGCTAAAACTTTGCATCTATTTTACCTTTATTATCAAGTAAGATGAAATTATATCTCTCACCGCTTGTTTGTTTCATTTCCATACACGATACAAGAATTAAGAATCTACATAAAAGTATTAAAAATGAGTAATATGATTTGCTTGTGCTAGGCCTTTGAACCCAAGTGGAAAGCATCCAACTTGTTGAAGAACATGTTTAAAGAGTTTTAAGACATGACAATCATCTTCTGCAAACATGAAAGATGCACTAATAATTTAATACAACTGTCAGTTTGTAGTCACCAAGAAAGATGTGAAAAAGTTTGATGGGAGGAATGTTGACAGAAAAGTTTGAAGCTTTCTATATTAGTACATGTAGTTGACATAATAAACATATATTGACTGTAGTTAACCTAAGACCTGCTGTGATCTTGCAATATATCTAGGCAAAATTATCACTTGAATATAGTGGAATGTGAACATTGATTACATGTCATGAATTTGTTTCACTAATTGACATCTTGCAATTTGGGTCTTATTTTACTTCATTATCGAGCAACTAGTCTAAAGTCACTGTGTTTTCTTGTTTGAAGTCAATTGAACTTGCTGTTAATTTTTCTAACTGGTCTTTCATATAATTTTTTCTAGCTATTCTGGCTGAGAATGGGAGGCTAAGAAACCTAGAAAGTATAGCGAAGAGATTTACGGAGTTGACCATGGCACATAGGGGTGAAGTGAAGGCCATTGTGACGTCTGTGATTGTAAGTTATATCAATTTAAAATTTTAATTCTGATGAGCACTCTTACCATATGAAACTAGTGTTAGAATGTTAACGCTAACTACCTGCCCCTTAAAATTCTGGGTGTGTATATAATTCTAGAATCATTATAATATGCACAATGTGATTCTTGATGGTGCTAGTCTAGTGTGGTTGTAATGGAACTGGTTATCATTGAGTTAATGTTGTCACGAAAATTTCTTAGATGGCTTTGTACACTTATTAGCTCAAATAAAGTTTCTTTTTGGCCTGTCATTTCGGTTGGCTAGGAAAACGGAAACATTTGATAAACACAAAGGAAATGTCAAAAAATAAAGAGAATTATCGGAACACTTGGACTCATGAAGTACAATCTATTAAAGAAAAATGAGGCAGGTAATTGATTATTTGTATATCCTTTGGGGTTATACATCCAGATAACCAGAAACATTTGAGCTTTATATAGATGGAAAATTGAAGTGAAAAAGAAGTGAGTAGGAGCAGCTGCCCCAGTGGGCATTAGCTTACTCTGTCCCTGGTATTGTAAACATGGCAAAAGCAGATCAGTTATGTTATAGTCACTTTTAACTATAGTAAAACAATATAATTTCTAAAGAAAGACCTATAACATGGGGAGTGATAGTACTATGAACTTTGAGGTTATCTATGTGGTATTTTTTTTTAGCTTTATCCTCGACATCATGCATATATATATATACATATATTTTTATGTCAAGAAATTTGAATAAATCAATTGAATTTTTGCCTTTTTGTCCGGTATTGTTGTGTCCTATTCCCTGTCCTATTCAATTCCTGTTTTTAGAATTTGACGAGTCGTTATATCTGTGCACTGTCGTGTTTCTACATGTATATCATACAGTTCATGCCTATAATGTTACAACTTCATATTTAATTATCAATCTAGCGCAAACAGATAGAAGATAAAAACACGACAGTGAACAGACATAATGAGATGGCAAATTCTGAAAACAGGAATCGAATAGGACACAACAATATCGGACAAAAAGGAAAATTTCAATTGATTTATTCGAATTTCTTGACAAACAACAAATGCATGATGTGGAGGACAAAGCTCAAAAAATACCACATAAATAACCTCAAAGTGAATACTACTATCACTCCCCTTGTTATAGGTCTTTCTTTACAATTATATTCTTTTACTATATTAAAAAGTGTCTATAACATAACTGACCCGTTTTGGCCCTGTTTACAGTACCAGGGATGGAGCAAGCTAATGCCCACTGGGGCAGCTGCTCCAACTCACTTCAATTTTCCACATATATATATATACTAAAATGTTGGTTTTCTGGATGTAAAATAACAACCTAGGTAATCTAATTTAGGCAATAGTGGCTGTCGACCTAAGTAATACTAAGCTCTTACAGTAACTCCTCTCTCTTCTTCTACTTTTCCTTGGTTGCGCCCCGCCCCCCCGCCCGCCCTTTTCAAAAAAATGGTTGCTGCCTTCTATTAGTCTTTGTGATTGCTATTGTTGACCAAAAAAAAATGTTTAGTTATGCTTACAACCATTTTTCTAAAAAATTCCATTTTACCAAAAAACAGAGACAATTGGGCAACGGTACGGATTAGATTAAATGGTAAATTAAATGGGAAATAGAGGCATGTAATATGTGAATTTCAATTTCTCCATGGTTTAGTAGGAGACAGAAACTTTTCAGCTGATTCAATGGGAAAGAAACTGAAAATTTTGATCCTTTGTGTTGTAATATATTATACTAACCATTTCAATTATGCCCCTTGGTTTGTGAGTTGTAAAAGAGATGGTTCAGAATCTTCAGATGGACAAGGTGTATCTGGTGGGTTTCTGTGAAGAATGCTTTAGATTCTTAGCTAGATTGGAGGGATTGTTGCAGTCATAGTACTCTTTGTTGTTTATGGGGACATAACACATTGAGCGATCAAATGATTTATACATGTTAGGGAGGAACAAAACCATCTTTGGCATTAAATCTGCACATTTTTTTATAGAAAAATCGAGTAGAACTTTGACCATTCATGGTAGTTGGGGTTTATCAAATTTGGTTCATTATAAGCGGTAACATATATATATATATATGTTTTTTTTTCCCCCTTTGCAAGAAACTCACACACCCATTTGCCCTGGGGACTTGAACCCTCACCATCCACTTTTGGAGGTAGAGGAGATAATAATACTAGGCTACGGCCCTTGGTACACACACATATATATATATATATTCATTTATTTATGTATGTACGTCTACTTCTAAGTATGGTTTGATTTACTTGAATTCATACTAGAACTGTGATTGTGATCTTTAGATGGCTTTATTCAAACCATTCAGACTGTCTACAGTTTCCTGTGTTATTTGTGGGTTTTTGTTTCTAACTGTTTCCTGTCTTTTGCACTTGTCTTCCAGCCCCTTCCCCCGGCGGAGGAGAAAGATCTGAAAGAAACATTACAGGAGATACTTGGACATGGGAAGAAGGTTAAGGTTGAACAGAAGGTAGTGTGTCTCTGCTGAATTTTATGTGCTATTCTGATGACTTCCCGCAATACATCTTGTGCTTTATAATCTTATCATCTCTAACCCTAGTGTATTTCTTCTAGATTGATCCTTCTATTCTTGGTGGGATCGTGGTGGAATTTGATCTAAAGGTGTTTGACATGTCCATAAAGACTAGGGCAATGCAGATGGCGAGGCTCCTGCGAGAACCTGTCAACTTTGACGGCCTCTAAAATGTTGTTGCACCTTCTCCAAGCCACTGATATTTGTTATTTTGCATTAATCCGTTAAATGCTCCAACAAGGAGATGTACTTTTGTTGTGTTCTGGTTATTGCTTGTGCCTCTTTTTTCATATGATGGAGTCGTCATCGCAAATAAAAGCAACTTGTTCACATTTGTTCAGTAAATCCTGACAAATTTCAATTTCTTGCATGGTTTTCAGCCTATGCACTTTTGATGTTGTTACATGGTTAGTGCACTCGCAGGTTTCCTAACTTTGCTGGCGTTTTCTTGAATGGATGAACAAATATGGCATGTTACTGTATATCTGTGTTGATTAGTGTTCTTTTAAACTCGTTTATTTGACACCGTCTGTGTTGATTAGTGTTCTCGTAAACTTGTTTGTTTGACACCGTGTGATTAGAATTGAGAGAAAATTTCAGGTACCTAGAATGCAGGTTTGGAACATTTAAGCGGATTGAAAATTTCTTCCTCGGAACATAATTAGGAGTTTTTGCAGCATACTGGATAAAGATCTGAAATACCAAGTTTTATGTTAGAGCTTCTGAACTGGGTAAAACTGTTCTTGTTGCTTTTGAGATAACTGAATATGGCGATGGTATATAGTGATTGTTGGTACTACCAAACTGAATGTTCTTGGCAGTTTTGGAATGACGAACAGATAGAATCATTAGATTGCAGTAATAGAAAATATGACGAGCAAATGAATGGAAAGATCATCTTCTCACCTGAGGAAAATCCTATTAATAAATGAGATTCTACAGATCAAGAGTTATGTGATGTTTATACTCTCAGATTGAAAAAGTTGACGACAGGCTCTACCCATGACATGCTTCCAGCTCACATTGGAGTACATTCGAATTAGGTTAAAAAGTCACTGTTAGAATCGGTCAGTTTTACATCCAAATGATAAGTGTGATACGGATGGAGAAGGATTTCCACGTATGAGGATAGATATGTAACATTAGTCAACAATTTAAACTTTTGAATAAGAGAGCATGGCCACACGTCTATGCGTCCCTCACATTGTTGTCCCAAGAAGTGGATGCTAGTAGTTTCTAAATCTTAAATGCTAACTTTTTGATAAGTTCAAAATATATCATGTTTACAAGTTCATGTTTTGTTTATTATGGTACAAAATCTAAATATGTATTGGATGTAATATGTATAAAAAACATATACAATTCAATAATATGTATAAAAGAAGCAGCCCAGAAAAAAAAGTAAAAAAAAAAAAAAATTGATAGATCAATTTTGTTTAGTAATTATCACATTGTGAAATTGACAGACGAACTCATTCATTTTTGTAGTGGCTGCCATCATGAATTTCCAAACCTTTTCCTTTCCCTCCATCAATCACCATTGCATTGATGCTCCAAGAAAGAAAAGGAATATTTTGTTTGGGTTACCCCCATATATACCCCTCCTTTTCATGTGATGAAATTCATCTATTCACATAAAAGGTAAATGGCTTTTACCATTTTGGGGTGGCTTTTGTTTGGCAACCTGAAAAATCTACTTTTATTGTATATATGCTTTTCTCCATTACTTTCACTTTTGGAGATGATAATTTGTCCAAGTACATGTTACTATTTTTCTAAGTTGGCCTACATTCAGATAGATAATTTGATACATGTATAGATGCACGTTTAAGGGCCAGTTTTGGCGTAACAGTAGGATTGCTGTAATATGACGTGAAGGGTATGGATTTAAAATCGTAAACATCCTCTCCATGCAGAGGTAAGACGGTATACATCTTACTCTCCTCAGACCCTACAATAACTTTCACTTTTGGAAATCATAATTTGTCCAAGTACATGTTGTCGTTTCCCTAACTTGGCCTACATTTGAAGGAAGATAATTTGATACATGTATGCACATGTGAGGGTGAGTCTTAACACAATAATAAGGTTGCTGTAATGTAACGTGGAGACTGCGGTCAAAAGTTTAAAATTAGAAACAACCTCTCCACGCGAAGGTGAGATTGCATACACCAAATTCTTCCCCGACTCTGTAATGACTAGAGATTCGTGCACTCTCCCCGCATCTCAATGATAAAAGAATGGTGCACTAGACTAACCCTTTGTGTATATGCACATTTCAGTGCAAGGTGTACAAGAACAATAGCTATCTGGACTAGTTGGTTTTTCTTGTCTTCATAACCAAGTACCATGTTACTTGGCAAGGGCTCATAAGACAGCTGTTAGTAAAGGGGAAAGCTTTTGAAACATTTGAGTAGCTTCACAGTTTTCTTCTACTTTTTTTCCCAGAAAAAAATGCTTTGGGTCACAATCAATCAACATGCAGGATCAACAATCTCTGAATATATAACTAAATTGCCTCTAATTTTTTCACAAATTGACTAGACATGAGTGAAGCAAAAATTGATTTGGCCCATGCAATGATAGTGAATTGTTTATGGATTTTTCATGATTCTGGTAGGAGGGTTAGGTAATGAAAAGGAATCAGTAAGAATATAAACAGTGATATATATACAATATAGGATGAAACCTTGGTTTTATATTTTACCTGTTAGAGCTAAGAATATATTTCATGGAATTAATCTAAAAATTTATTTCTAATATTCTGTCAAATTCTAGCACTACTTTGAGATTATAAAATTATTCACTATTTATTAAAGAAAATTAAACTAACATAGAACATGCAATTTGCAGATATTTTTTAAACATTTATAATGAATCTCTCGAAGGAAACGTTGGGCTTGCTTGGATTTTCACTCAGAAAACAAAGAACTAAAAATAAAAAAATTGTATCAAAGTTCCACTTGGTTCAATTTTTTAGAAATTATTTTATAAAAATTCAATTATAAAAATATATATTTTTAGAAAAATGTCTTATATACCTTTCCGAGTTTTTGAGAACCGTTTTCAGAAAACTAAATCGAACATGTGAATATTTTTCTCTCTACATTTTCATAATTTCAAACTCGATTAAAAATGACTATAAAATGAAATGTATTAAAAAAAAATATATCATTTTCATTCTCTTAAAAAAATTAAAGCCAATGGTGTGCCAATTTGTTGAAGATGTATATATATATATATCAAATTTAATTTGAGAATTTAAAGTAGCACCTAATGCATACTTCTATTTAGATTTACTTAAGTTACCTCATGAGCATGCAAATAATATAAGAGTTGCACAAAATCTTGAAGATAATTTGGAACTAATTTAGAATTTATTGAACCATATATATACTAGAATAATTAAATACTTGATGCATGGGCCAAAATAGTGATGGATGACTAATTTTGTGATCGAATATATAGAATAATTCAAGATTTCTATCAATTGTATTATATTTGAAAAAAAAAAAAAACCAATTGTATTATATGGGAAAGACAAGATTAAAAAATTGACAAATTAAGACAATTTTGACAAACTTTTTTGTATTTGTCGGCAGGTAGTTAGTTGCTTGAAAAGTCAGTTAGCTCAAACGAGAGAAATATGCTTAGAATATGTGTAGCAACATATATATATTCTATATATATGTGTGTGTGTAGTACCAATTTTGATTAATTAGCAAATACAGACTGTACCAAAAGGACTAATGTCATGATCCCTAGGGTTTAATTAGACTTCAATTGCACGAGAGAGAGGGAGAGATTATGTGAAGTGGAAGCAAAATATGCTACGATTCTCATACACATAGGTACCCTTGGGAGTGAAGAAAAATGTATCGAAAAAGACAAGTTAGAGTCAAAGACAAGAACACCAAACTCTCTCTCTCTCACACACACACACACAACACATACACACCTCTCTCTCTCTCTCTCTTGGAGGTCCCCCTCCAATCCGTTTGCCACTCTACCTATCAACCAACATATAACAAAATACCTAGCAAAATACACCCTCTCTCTCTCTCTCTCTTTCCACATATTCATAATCTAAGCAAAACCCCCACAATCATCACTATCATCATCAACATTACGGCTCCATGAAGCCTTCACTTCCTCTCTCTCTCTCTCTCTCACACACACACACACAGATATTAATTATATATATAATTCATCTATATAGCTAGTTCTCTCTCTCTCTCTCTTATATATCCCCATCAAGCCAGTTGGAATATATTAAGAAGAATTTATAAGCTTTCCTCCATTGAATTCATCCTCCTGTGTTGCAATGAGGAAGCCAGGAGATCATCCAATGGGGAAGGAAAAGGCAAACAATTGTAATAAGATGAGTAAGCTTAGGAAGGGTTTATGGTCACCAGAAGAAGATGAGAAGCTGATGAACTACATGCTAAGGAATGGGCATGGCTGTTGGAGTGACATTGCTCGGAATGCCGGTCTCCAGAGGTGTGGCAAGAGCTGCCGCCTTCGCTGGATTAATTACTTGAGACCAGATCTCAAGCGCGGCGCCTTTTCGCCACAAGAAGAAGAGCTCATCATTCATTTGCATTCCATCCTTGGCAACAGGTCGGTCCTACATAAATTACTCTCCCTCTATTTATTTACATACATGTCTCTAGCTCTCTCAAATGGTTTGCACAATAGTGAAGGGACAGTTCCACATAGTGAGTGTGTGTATAAAAAAATTTCATACATACATGCATTCTCTTAGAGATAGAATATGATTAGTTAAATTGGTTTATTTGTAGCTAGAACTACTACTCATTGCATAAATAAGTCATGAGGTCATGTTTCTTTGTTAATTCATCAACATAATTAAGCACATGAGTACTACATAATACATATAGGTTTTCTAGTGTGTTAACTAACATATTGCAATAAAAATTGGAATATATATGTATATAGTACACATATTACATCCCGCGACAAAGATCTTATTTAGATTGTATATACTTTGAATAATTGCAGTTGATGTAGTAAATATGCTTTAAAATTTTGTTAAAAACCGAACAAATTAAGTTGGAAGCCAATCCCAATGGCTTTGTAATTTCATGCTTACGTGATGCTTTCTCCAAATTGACCCCTCCTTTATCTTAATTATTTTAGGATTGGCACCCACCTAACTATATACTCATTTAAGCTATCCATTATTACATAGTGTTACTAGATAGATATTTAACATTATTTTTCCATAAAGTAACAGCTATATGTGACACTTCAACTGCATATATCATTTATGCATGCATATATAACTTTTATTAGAAAAAAACTCCCTATAATATTCCATTGCGGAACTAATCAAACAGAACTAGACTTGATTTAATTTAATAAAACTTTATACGAGATGTGAATTTATACAAGTACTCTAAATTAAATCTCCTAAAATTTGCTACTAAATTCTAGAAAGATGCAATATGTACAATAAACAGAAAAGGAAAAAAATTCTTGGTGAAGATTCCAGAAGATTGTGGTACTAATAAGTTCTATGAAATGTATGGTAATTTAGATATGAATTTTTTTTTTTTTTTTGGTGGTAAAAAGGTGAAATATAAAAGAAAAGAAAAATGTACAAATATACCATTTCGGACATGTATATGAAATGTTGTCCATATATTTGGTAAGATTTTGGTGCATTTCAAAATTTTATTTTTAGTTTTTATTTTTTATTAATTGTAGACTTAGCATCCATGCAATTAACCATGCATTTTGAACAATTTAGGTGGTCTCAAATTGCGGCACGTCTACCAGGAAGGACAGATAATGAAATAAAGAATTTCTGGAATTCTACAATAAAGAAAAGGCTGAGATCGATCAACAGTAATGCTACTACTTCCACACCCTCACAAAACAAGGGTAGTGATCATCTATTAGAGGGTACTAGAGATGTGATGCAAGGTATAATGTCCATGCATGAACATGACATCATGACCATGTGCATGGACTCATCATCCTCGTCGTCTTCCTCGTCCATGCATGGCCTGGTTGGTCCTTTCGACTACTCTTTCAATACTCTACTAGACAATGGGCACGACATAACCGGTGCATCGGCTTTACTCAATGTGTCAACATGCTTAGCACAAGTTGGTGAGGAGGATAGGTTTGGTGGAGATTGTGGGATTCATGTAGAACCAGGTTTGATGGGATTTGAGAGTGACAACATTTCTATTCCTCCATTAGAGATTAGGGGTGTTTTAGAGAATAATCATGATCATGGAATGGGACATTGCACCTTTGATAAGAAAACCAATAGCAACCACCACTTCAATAATAATGGTCATGAAAATCAGAGCATCAAAGTAGAAGAGGACTTGTTTGGTTTTGCAAATCATTGGGATGGAGAAAACTTAAGAATGGGAGAATGGGATTGTGAGGGTTTGTTGGAAAATGCCTTCTCCTTTCCTTATCTTGATTTCCAAGTTGAATAACTGCCTTCCATCCTTTCCTCTCTCTCTCTCTCTAGATCTCTCTCTCTCTCTAATAAGGCTTTTCAAATCCATGTCCTAGGAAATTTTGGAGAAAACAATTCTTTTGAATATTTCCAAACAGCCCTTTATGCATTTGGTTTGCTATATATACTTTTCTTCTTGATATATCCACTTAGGAGACCTTTGTTCTTTCAGCCATGAAATCCACCATCTTTTTTCACAATATGCAATAAATGTGTTACAAATTGGACATATGGGTAGTAGAGATTTTTTAAAATGTATGTATCTCCTAGTGAGGGCAGATTGGTTATTTTGCGGATTTTTTTTGGAGCTGGTGCAATAATCATTTCCTTTATGAAGCCAAATGTGAATAGTGAAATGTAGTTTGGTGATTTGTAGCATTCATGTACAAATGGAATAATGAGATGGTGGAAATTGTTACTAGTGGGAATCATATATATGTGTAAGAACTGGAAAACTATGGTAGATTTGTATTCTATATACATTAATAAAAATTAGAATTTCTTCTTCTTCTATGGATCTGTGGGAATTAAAATTGCAATTAATCATTATTATTTTGAATTGAGAGTCATTGTCTTTCTCTTCTTAGCTTAATTTTGAAGATAATTGATTTTTGTCATTGCCTTCTGTTTGACTCAATTTACATAAAGAGTTTCAATCAAAGAGATCGTTAAATTCCCCAAAAAAAAATTGCCATGTCACCATAGAAAAACATAATTTCTACCAATTATGTGATCATTACAGGTTGATAGATCATGCACGTGTATATAAAAGAATTATGTCAAATATATAACATCTAATCTAATCGGTTTAGTATAGACATGTGGTGAACTAAAAATGTTTTAGAGTTAAGTTTTGATATGTAAAACATGTAAATAGTGCTTTATCTGCGGATCTCATCTTCAATGGTGAATAAGAGATTTTACCACTCATCTCCTTTTCAAATACTACAAACTCCCCCCTCTATTTTTAACTCCAAAATTAATATTATCAGTGCTACTCATTATAAAAATAAAAGATAATTACCAATATAAATATAAATATATATATATATATATATATATATATATATTTATATTTATATATATATATATATATATAAAATAAGAGATTTTACCACTCATCTCCTTTTCAAATACTACAAACTCCCCCCTCTATTTTTAACTCCAAAATTAATATTATCAGTGCTACTCATTATAAAAATAAAAGATAATTACCAATATAAATATAAATATATATATATATATATATATATATATATATATATATATATATATATATAAAATATGGGTGTACTTTTTCCTACGTTATTTGAGAAGGGACAATCCCTGAAAAGTCCTTACGAGTAAATTAGACTAAAGTCATAAAATCAAGAAACAACGACAACAACTAATGGCTTCTTTTATAATTTATACTATTACATTTATTAAATATACTAATTAATTTTGTTATAGGTCTCGTTTTAGTCGATATTCTAGGTAGTTTTCTCTTTGAATTGGATGGGAATTAACAAACTCTGCTTAGAAGAAACTTCTACAAATGGAATAAATTAAAGTTGTTTTTGTAAGTAGTGCTGGAGCTCAATGCAAATCGGATACAAACAATCCTAAAAAATAATTGGTCAAAAGAAACTTAATCATCTAGAAGAGAAATTCAGGGAAAATCTGGTACAATCAGTCAAAAACATAGTTCAAATTTTAGCACACAAACATATCAATACTTGAGACAAAAATCAAGGATTAAATGGCTAAGGGATGGAGACTCCAACACATCTTTCTTCTTTAATTCCATATCCTCAAGAGTCAACAGGAACAAAGTTACATCCATCACTGCTGCTAATGGTGAAGTCCTTCACACTGCAGAAGCCATCAAAAGAGAGGCTGTATCTCATTTTCAATCCACACTTGGGATGAACCCACACTCCTACCCAGGTATATCTCACTTGTCCCCCTTAATTCAACCAACTGTGCCACTGTCTTTTCATGAATCACTTTGCCCTATTCCCTCTAATGAGGAGATACAAATGAGCATGTTTTCCATCAACATTGACAAGGCTCCTGGGCTAGCCTGATGGGTATAATTCTTTCTTCTTCAAAAAAACATGGCCTATCATTGGCAAAGATGTTACTTTGGCAGTCAAAAAGTTCTTCACCTCTGGAAAATTACTTAAGGAAGTTAATTCAACTTACCTATCCCTTGTGCCAAAAAAACCCAACCCAACTTAATTCCCTTAATGATTTTAGGCCCATCTCCAGCTGCTCTACAATTTACAAATGTATTTCAAAACTGTTGGCAAACAAGCTCAAACCCATCTTACCTCACATCATTGGCCCATCTCAGTCTGCATTTATCCAAGATAGGCAAATTGATGACAGCATCCTACTTAGGGCTGCAACTTGGGCGGGTTATGTGATACCCCCGAATTTTCGAATGCGGGTTGGCCAGGCCCACGCCCGAATACCCGAGGATGTCAAAACAAATTAATAATAAACGAACACAGAGTATAAAAGAATAAAGAAGAATAAATAAAATGCTGACAAGAAACTAAAATGATAATCTAATAATAAACCTCATAATATATTTTCATTAATTAATAAACTCTTCTGATACAACTGATCCTCCAAAATACAACTCGGGAATCCATACTGTGTGGACCCCTAGAAAATCCAAACTAAACAAATGACAGTAATCTAAAACAGGAAACTGAATCATAAAGGAACTCTTATGTAGCATCGAAAGAATGAAGTAGACTGATCCCCGCTCAGCACGAACAGCCTCTATTCGTGACGAACGCCTGAAAAATAATGGTGGGTCAGGCCCACAAACAAATTCTACTCTACTACAGTCCAAGCAGAGATCCGATACACGTATACATCCTAGTCAATCTAATAGTAACTAGTAATCCGTATATATATATACACACACTAAAGGAACCTCACTAGACTATAGGGTTGTCTCAACCTGAATAGTAGGCAACATGCAAAACGCACATATAGTGGGCATGAGTACCTAGACCTACCAGGGTACACAACTACACTATATCTAGCTACACATCCCTGGCGATATACGCACCCTGACCATTGATCCTGAGACTCAAGCTCATATCATGGCACCATACTTATACATATATATAATCTAGTAACCATCCTATCCAGTATAAATTAATCCTCCATAAGTCATTCAACTTGTTCAGCTGACCTGACTTGAATATAAGTAGGACTTAACATTTTAGTTAATCCATTCCCTTATATAATAAATTAATCCTCCATAAGTCATTCAACTTGTTCAGCTGACCTGACTTAAATATAAGTAGGACTTAACATTTTAGTTAATCCATTCCCTTATATAAAATAGGTAGGACTTAACTGATAAGTTAATCCATCCTTAGAATGTCATCGTCCCATACCGGTGCATTAAACCACACAATCCAACAATTGATTTAACAATTAAGGAAATATATCAAACATTCCATAAATAACTATGATAAATATGATATCAAGTTATCACATAATAGGAATGACTTATTATTTCTTTAAACTTCCTATATCATATGTCCTACACAAACTGAATCTTATACATGATGATATTTTATTATACCGTTAAATAAGGATTCTCTAAATCCAATTCATCCTACACATTTAATCTCAATTGCTAAAATATTTTAAAAGATTAAATCCATTCGTTTGTTTAAAACATTCAAATAGCAAGCATCGTTATGATTGAGTCTATTTAAATTTATTAAAACCCAAACCTAGTCCCTATTTAATGTTTAGGAATCCTAGACATGTTTCTACGTTCCATCATTCCACAGATATGAAAAATACGTAATTTAAACATGTAAAAATTCACATAAGAAATCAAATCAAAATCATGCATTTTATCAATTCATAACACAAGAACAGATATGAACCAATTTCATAAAACATATGTTCTAACCCAATTAAACATGCATAATTATTTAATTTTATGTGTTTAATAAATTCAGAAATTTCCTAGGCATGTACAGAAACACGAATCAAAGGGAAAGAGATAGAAGAAGAACTTGCCTTATACTTTCGGATCGAAAGTTAAACTTCTTCTTCCTTGGTCTTCTCTCTAAAGGGTTTTTCTCCTCATTCTTTCATTTTCCTCCTTCCCTCTCTAACACTATCTCTCTAGTATATATCACGTGAATATTTCTAACCCCCTTTTACAACCTATAGCTATATATTTATAGGCTAAATAAAATAATCCTAACCATTTTCCCAATCTAAGTCAACTTAAAAAAAAAATGAAAATAAAAATATTAAAAAGGTAAGCAAAATATGTTACGTATATAATTTATGTATATGTTTATTAAATAAATAAATTATACACATTCCATTATTTATTAATTGATTATCCAATAATATTTAAGTTACCATAATATTATAAAGTAACTTAAAACATAACACGTATCAAATTTATGTATATTTTTATTATTTAAATAAACATATACATCAGATTAAATATTACTACCCAAATTACCATAAAAGTAATTAATAAATTACTTTCTCTTTTATATATATATTAAAAAGGTATGTAAAATATGTTACGTATAGAATTTATGTATATGTTTATTAAATAAATAAATTATACACATTCCATTATTTATTAATGGATTATCCAATAATACTTAAGTTACCATAATATTATAAAATAACTTAAAACATAACACGTATCAAATCTATGTATATTTTTATTATTTAAATATAAAACATATATATCAGATTAAATATTACTACCCAAGTTACCATAAAAATAATTAATAAATTACTTTCCTTTTTATATATGTATATAATATATATCTATATATATACATATATTATTCATGGGTAATAATCCATACACATCCAACCTCCTATCCAAGTAGTCCATGGGACCCAATTGGTTGGCCCATTACTACTAACCATAACTATAAAAGAAAAATAAAATAAAATAATAAAAGAAAAGAAAACATTTAATTTACAATTAATGAAAACACCATTTAAGCACATAATCTAATTAAATAATTAACACATAGACAAATACAAATAATACATAGACACATCATCAAATAATCAAGTAATAGCTAATTCAATTAAACACATAAGCAATTAGTCAAATAATTAATTAAATAATTAAAAAATACAATTAAAACAAATAAATAAATACCGAGACTATCCTTTTAAAATTAGTGGTATTACAGGTTAGCCCAGCCCAGCCCAACCCCAATCTAGAAATTTTGAAATCTGGACATACAATTCACAAATCGGGTTATGTTCGGGTTGGGTTTTGTCAAAACCCAGACATATTCGGGTTGGGCTCGAGTTCAACCCGAACCCAACCCAAAACCCAAAATTATTATTATTATTATTATTATTTTTCTCCTTTCTCTCTCCTCTCTCTTCTTTCTCTTTCTTTCTCTGCCTGAGATCTGGGTTGCTTCTTCTTGAGCCTACTGGTCGTGGTTGTCTGATCCTAAGCCGGCCTCGATGTGATATTGCTTCTT